AATAAATTGTAGATTTCGAAAAATTACCCCTAATAATTCTATTGATTAATTTATTTGAATAAACTACGACATTATTTTTAAATATATTATCTGTCATAATGGCCTTTATATTTTGAAACATGAGAAGTTATTTCTCACACATGATTAACTACTTTACAGTAAGGACAAGAAACCGTATTTAAAAATCTTTAAATCGTCTAGATTTTTGATGACTCTAAAGAAGCAATATTTTTCACTTTCTTATGACATTACTTTTTTTTCCGCCCATACTGACCACCCCAAGAAATAAGAGGTCTTGGCAGTCGAGGCTGTGTGGTTTCATGAAGTTAAAACATGAAATTGCTTTTTTAGCAATAGTCAAGGTATTTTTTTTAATTTATATTATTCTTGTTTTTTAATTAAACTGTTATAATTTGACCAATTACCACTCCAAAGGTCGCACTGGATCTGTTGATCCCTAAATTTTGACGACCAAGTGACATGTCTAGAACGTAAAGAAATAAACCGACTGACAACTGTCCGGAATATATTTTAAGTTAATCAGAAACTGCCAAAGTTGTTATTCAGTTGGAGCAGACATGACTATCGATGACAAATTGGAGGCTGATGTTCATGTTTGTATTAATTATTTTTCTATCCAATTCAATCCTATTATAATTGCTCCTAGTATACAGTGATGTTTTGTTCTTATTTAATGGTATACAGAATTTAATATTCAGATTCCTTCTGGCTCCTAATTTTGTTAATGTATTTTTTGTTTTGATTTTTAATATTATGTAACTGTGTTTTGCTCAATAAATATATTTAAAACCCCATCTTATATCTTTTTCTTTTAGTAGAATGAGAAATTTGTTGGTATTTTTGATCAATAAATTGATTTAGTGAAGTGGATCTCACAGATCTGTGGCAATCTGTAAGCAACCTTTGGAGTGTTAAGTAAAAATTATATATTTTTTATCACATAAATAATTAACAAATATTACCCATTCACTTACTATAAGAGAAATGGTTTAAAAACTGTATTGATAAATTTAATTTTTGGAATTATTAGTGGTTCTTTACTTAATCTGTAATTTATTAATAATATATATAATTTTGTTTAAGAGTAATTATATACTTTTTTTTTTTTTATGCTCCCATAAAATTTTGTGTATGGTGCTCCTAGAACTTTAATATATTCTGTCTATTATTACATAATGATAAGATTCTACATATGTAGATAAATGATTAATTAGTTGTATGCGGTGTTTAGATATGGTTGAAATTTTTAGTGTATTTAAAAGTGAACAAAAACTTTTTTATCAAGAAATATTTATTTCTAATTTAATCAAAATGAAGCCTACTCCACTTGGTTTGTAAATTATAGTTAGGCAATATAATTGATTACTAATAATTGCATTAACTTTTTTTTTTATCAGATGTAATTATAAAATCAACCAACTGCTTAAAATTTAAGTATAATATATAGATAAATTATTATAAGTATATGTAAGTACAGATACAAACGCAATACTGATATTTATGCATAAGTTTTGTAATGAAAATATTATATAACTAGTTCAGTAGTGTACAGTACAAATTCAGCATATATTATTGATTGTAATATATATCAATTATAATTAACTATTAAAATGATCTGTTTTCTGTTAACTTAACAGTAAAAAGTTTCAGAAAAAAATTGATGGATTTGAATTTAATCATCATATGAAGTATAATAATTATTTCCTTCAGTATTTTACCCATTTAGAAAAATGTATTTAGAGGGAACTGTGTTATATAATAAAAATGTAATTTGTTTTCAATAAAATAATTATATGATTTACTTGTTATGATTTTCCCATTATATTTGTTATGTTTTAAGAAATGGTACTAGTTCACAAGAGTTCCGCACGGATTACGCGTGGTTCACAATCACTTCGACCACACTTGTTCATGGAATCCCGAAAACAGCCGAATATTGTCGTCTTTTATGACGTCAGCTATTGCCCCATAATGCAATCCCTTTTCATGCATTTTTGAAAAAAATACAACGTATTCCCTTTATGGAACTTCCTTATTAAAAAATTGTGTATTTAATAATTAGTTAATTATTAATTTTTATTATAACGGCTATTACTTTGAAAGAAAAAGAAAAAAATACATAAAGTAATGTTTGAGTAGTTTCTTCAGACCCTATTAAAAAAAAAAGCTTTTAGTAATAACATTTTTATTGACACGTGCTTACATGTAGTGGCTGTAAATACGCATATACTGTATATTATCTTTTATAACTGTGATAAAACATTTTTTTTTCATTTGGATAATAAATAATTTTAAGTTATCTATTATCTTTTTTTTTGTTATTCGAGTTTTTCAATAGAAGTTGGAATAATTGAATTTATAATTTATTTTAGCAAGCCTTTTTTAGAATTGCGCAATCGTCTATCTAGTTTACATATTTTTTTAGATTTCTAATAATACGAGGGGCTATTTTCTAGTGGAGGGTGGCGCTTTGTATGCAGATACTGTCTGATTTGTAATTATGATGTGTAATTATTGTTATTCGCAGTTATTTTTCTTGGTAATCCGAAAAAAGGGATTATTGTAGGCTATGGTACAAAAAAAAGTATTTATTTTCGAGAAAGGAATTAACGTATTTGGGAAACAACTGACGAAGAATATGTAATAATTCCAAGATAATGAATATTGGAAATCATCTATAAGAAAAATAATATTGTGAAATAGCAGTCAGAGATCTAATAATTAAAGATTTTTATGTATTACTATTTCTTTTTTACAGATCTATAATATATGTACAAGCTCAATTCAGGTTTCATGATGTGTAGCCTAAATGTAAATCTGCTCCTGCTATACAACTGAACGTGGTTAAGGTTAAAGTACTTAAATGGCGGGAAAGTTAATAGTAACTGGCCCAAGAGATCGGTCGCCTTCGTTCTCTTTCGGAGAAACACGAACGCATTCGGGATTCCAGGAACAAGTGTGATCGAAGTGATTGTGAACCATGCGTAATCCGTGCGGAACTGTTGTGAACTAGTACCTAAGAAATTATTGAAGGAAGCTAGTGCACTGTTCTACATATCATGGGTGATAAATATTGCCGACGTTTCAACCCAAACATGTGGTTCATCATCAGTGCGTGGTTTGAGCACTGAAGGTGTTCAAGTACTGCAACACCTTGAACTTGGGCACCCCACATGTTTGGGTTGAAACGCCAGAACAAATAAAATTTTTTATAATGACTGCATCCTGAATATTTATCACCCGTTTTAAGAAATTGTTTTTACTGGTTTGTTTTATGGGGCTTTAAGGCATAAAACGTTAAGGACATCAACGCCTGTAAAATAATTTTATTTATCTCTGAACTAAATTTTTTATATGGGATTTACTTGTTATATTTTAAGAAACTGTTTTTTGGGGCTTTAAGGAAATCAATGCCTGTAAAATAATTCTGTTTATCTCTGAATTAAATTTTTAAAAGTTGTCATCATTAATCAGAAAGTTTGATATTAGAGGTGGAAGTCCTGAACTGGTAAGATGTGAGATGTAAAAAGAATATTCTTTTAAAATGTGGCTGACTGTAAGTGTATTATTACGTTGTTGGCTGATGAGATAGGAGGGAGTCGGATTGATATGGCCTGTTCTCAGGCTGGTTAAGACCTCTTCTCTGCAGATAGAGCGATTTGATTTTGATCATGGCTTCACAGTTCTTTTAATGTTCTTATTCTACATGGATTGCTGCCTATAAAGTATTTTTTAAATAAATACTTGCCTTCTTCTCATTCTCTAAGACAGATTTCATTTTAAGAGTAGCTGCAACAATTCACCAGCTTTTCTGCACTATTCATACATATTACTATACCCTAGTCACATTACATGTTATATACCTTAATTTTTTTTGTTATACCTTACACCAAATTATAATATCCAAACTTTTTATCCTGTAGGAGTTCAGCAATAATAAATAATCAATGTTTTTAGCAGCAAAAAAATCTCTGTTTTAGGCTAACTCCTTAATATTGCACCAAAACGAAAAAGTTAGTATTTAAGAAGTTGAAGAACATTAAATTTTGAATCAATTAGTACCACAACATATTAATTTAATTAAATGATATGTTTGAATACCACGCATAATAAATGAATGATGTTTACTAACATTTCTAAAAATTATAGTAGTTTTGTAATGCTTGTTATTTTTCTGTGACTAAAACTAATTAGCTCGCACCTCTTGTCCCGCAACTTAAAAATTAGAATCTATAAAACCATTGTCTTACCTACAGTTCTTTATGGTTACGAAACGTGGACGCTTACATTAAGGGATGAGCAACGACTTAAAGTTTTTGTAAATAAAGTATTGTGTAGAGTATTTAGACCGAAGAAGGATGAATTAACAGGAGAATTCAGACGGTTACACACAGCCGAATTGCGTGAATTATATCCGAGCAATATAATTGAGGTGATTTCATCCCGGCGTATCAAATGGGCCTGTGAAGTTGTTGTTCTTAGTAACGAGAGAATTCCTAAAAGGTTAATATTTGCTGTACCGAACGGTAAACGTCCGAGGGGTAGACCGAAGCGAAGGTGGGAAGGTTACATTAAAGCCGATCTGAAGGGACTAGGTTTGGATGGCGAACGGTGGAGGGAGGTGTGTAATGAGCGATTGCTGGTGTCGGCATCGAACCTTCGGGTTCACTAAGCCTTTTATATATTTTTATTTATTGTAGTTTTGTAATGAGCTTTCTAAGAGAGAAAAAAAAACGTCCTATAAAGGTGTAGTAACCTTCTATTTGAGTAATTTACTCGATTTAATATTCTGTGAAAATTTTTAAAAATTGTACCACATAATCAAAACCTCTTTTCTGGGCCATAGATCCCTTAAACTAAGCTGCTGTTTTCAAATTATTAATATTGATATTTAATTTTACCATACTGATATATCTAGTTTTATCTTTTGAAATAAAAACACAAATATGATTTGCTAGTAGGAAAGACAAAACAAATATGGACTACGAAATCATTTAAAGTTTTATATAAGTATATCAAAATATTTACAAATCTCAAAACAAATATTTTTTAAAGAAAAATTTTATATAACAATTCGAAAAAAAAAATTAATAATAAAAGGATATAATACATACAGGACACAAATCAATCTATAACTGGCTTACGGAAAAGAAATCTATTTTAATATATAACATACAACTTGCAAATAACCTGTAAGGGACATGGTGATATTCAATACCAACTCTATTAAATAAGTTTTTTAAATGACGCTGCAGTCTTAACACTGGTTTATTATAATTGAAGAAGATTCCGTACATTTTCCCTCTCCGTTTGTCCAAGAGCCCACGTAGTAGAACAGCTTGCGATAAGTGCCCTGAGATCCGAGATTCTCAAGGCTGCTATGCTGCTCCTAAAAAAAGAAATACAATTACATAATAATACATAACATCGACTGATAATAAATGTATTTAAGTGAACATTTTAATCAATTAATTTATAATGACCAGCAGTAACAAAACTTAATTAAGAATTAAGATTATTTTCAAAATGTTCTGTTGATTAATTACAATTAATGAGCCTTCGCAACAGATTATTTTTTTTTAATTCTCTCCTTTTAAGTTTGTAGATAAGTAGAATAACGAACGGAATGAATCTAGACTTTTTTATTTTGGTTAAAATAGCTTGGTAACCTCTTCCCTCATATGCCAAAAATAACCAGAAAAAAAAAAAAAAAAGGCAGTATAGATTTGGAATCCAAGATTATTGAATGAATATCACGAACAGACATGCCGATAAGTCGACAGACATATTTTAGCCGATTTTGACATCTTAGGTATGAAGAGAAAATTTTATCTATAGAGCTAACTAAACAGAAAGATCAAATTTTATGAATTAATTTGGTCCATACCAAATATTTTAAGCTGTTTACAGCTTATTCTATTTGCTTGAACAGGAGAAAAATTTTATCTGGAATTATTTGTTTATTTTTTTCGACTAACAAGATTTTCTAAATGGGTTGGGAGAGAATTATAATAATTATAGAACCTTAAGTTATCAAGATATTGTATTTGCTCTCATAAAGGTTAAGCCGTCCATTTTGAAAATAATAATCATTAAACAAATATAGCAAAGGAAACTAACTACTGATATGAAATGAATTCCTAAATTTAATATATACATATAGCAAGCTTAAATTAGGTAGGTACAGTATCAGTAAAATTTTTTACTCACTTGTATTTAATTTACAATTTATAAGATTAACAAAATAATTTTAACTAAAGAAATAACATATCGAACATAAACATTAACAAAAATCCTACTATTACTAATCCTATTTCAACTTAAAACTGTTTACTATTCCTCCAGTATCTCTTTATTTTCTGATTGATCAGTTAACTAATAAAAGTGTGCCTATTTAAAGAAAAGTGTTTTTAATAACAATTTCATTAATTTGTACTATATTTAACATTTATTTTCTGAGATATCTTTTAAGGTAAGTTCATCTACATAACATATTAAAAAAAAAAAATGTATTTTAAAGTTTTAATTAACTGATCTTAATTTAAAATAGCCCGTAAATAGTAAAAGTGTTAATAATTTTTGACAGGATTTATTAAAGAAATTAGGGTAAAAAATCAGAAATGAGAGTTGAAACACATGCCATTATTGTTGCATTACTTAGGGAAGGCAATTGGACTAGAAAAATTACACCTAAGACAAAATTTTCTCAGACTACTCTGATAAGAACGCTAAAGAGAAAGGAAGAAAATGGGCTAAATAAGAGCTGCCAATGATCTGGGAGACCTAGAGTAACGTCAAAGCGTGAGGACAAGTTCATCTGTGTTCTAAGTAAGAAGCAGTGGACTCAGAGAGCGCCAGAAATTTGCAAAGAAGTAAATGCGTTAAGAACGAAGCCTGTATATATCAGTACTATGCAAAGCCAACTTCCTGATTATTGTTTAAAAGGTTATGTTGCTGCTAGCAAACCTCTCTATATATAAAAAAAACAACACTTACAATGGGCCAAAAACACAGAAAGTGGTCTGCAGAACATAGGTCAAAAGTATTATTCACTAACAAATCAAAATTTGAACTTTTTGGAAGTAAACGAAGACAGTATGTTCATCGTATGGTTGGTGAACTTATGATGAATCAATGTACAATGTACAGCGACAAAGTTGGAGATCTCCGAATAGATGGAATTACAGATAAAAAATAATATCGCAGAATTTTGCTGTCATGTTTTTGCATGTGGGTCAATTTTTTTTTTTCCCCCAGTAGGGTAATGACCTGAAACATTCTTTCCAAATTGTGTAGAAACTACATTGGAAAAAATTAAAGCAAAAAGTACTTAAATACTTAAGTATCTTAATCCTCTGATCTCAACCCCATTGAACTGTTGTGAGATGAGCTCGACAGAAACACTTGGAAGATACGATGTACCATTAAAAAAAAACTTTGGAAATCTTTCCACAGTTGCTGGAACAAGATCTCGACAGGAACTTTGCAAAAAGTATACAATTATAGTTCTTATATATAATAATTGCACTTGTAATTATCAAAATAAAACTAATTTGTTATTATTTGATATGTAAAAATTTTGTTATCTATTCACATTTTACAAAATTAGGGTGAGTCTAAACCTTTAACCAGTACTAAAAATAAAAAGATAAATACTATTAATATATTATGAAGAAGATTTGAAATTAGAAAACTTATAACTAAATTGGTTTTTCGAATTTATGAAATTTTTTTTTAATTTTTCATGAAACTTTAATTTTAATACTTTTTCAAATGGTGGAGCAATTCAAACTGAAAGGATTATTAAGAAATACGATGAAAACAAATCTGTTTAATTTGATTTCAGAGTTGTGATTGGTTGATTATTTCCTATTGACAACTACAAATGCCTACTTAATCATTTATTTTCAACATATTTGTTTGAGTTTATTAAATTTCTCTAATTGGGTTAGTATTCTAACCCAACATTTAAATAACATTTAAGTAACATTTAAATTAGCTATTCTTCTGTTTTGGTTTTATACAACCTTCGGTCTGGTTCTCAGTTTGATCATAATCATATATCATTCTTAATCAATTGTTTTTCCCCTTCCCCGACATGTATTAAACAAGTTATCACTAATAGTTTCTATTAGGCTCTTATTATCTTAATATATTACTTCTCAAAGGTGTTTTTTAGTTAGTATGTCGTATCTTATTTAATTATTCGTCAAATTCAATTATTAAACCCTCATTTTGAATATCTTTTCCTTCATGTGTATAATAATAATAAAAAAAAACACCCCTCCCTTGAAATTTGAGAAAAAAAGTTATAAAGAAAACGAAACTTTATTTGCGAATAACGCAAAGCATTTTTTTCTTTATTGTAGTACCCATGATTATTTGAGAGATAACTAAATTCCCTTAGAAAAAATAAATAAATAAAAATCAGACCATTATTGACAAAGATACTGTCCATTTATATTTATACATAATAATTTCTTCCTATTTGAAGATAATACATTTACTATTCTAATACCTTTTTACTTTATTATTTTTTAAAAATTTATTTTGTTGGAACATCATATATTTTACAATAATCCAGAAAATCCAATGATTGAGACCTTACTTTGAATAATATCTTTCCTGTCAACGTTTAGAGAAATCATATAAGAAAAAATTGAAAATTGAAGGGTAGGAAATATATTTGCGGATAGCTCCAATAGTGTATTTTTTTTTTTGTGTGTTTTTATTAATAATTTGAATTAATCAAAATTAAAAAAGTAAATTTGAAATTAGTTGTGTATTTCTATATATTTCAGCTTATATGAATGAATTTGAACATCTTTCTTATATTGAACAGACCGTTGTCACCCACTATATCTCTGATACCACCTTTTATTTCTGTATCTGACTTCTTCTTATTATATATATACTAATATTTATTTTTTATTTTCAACATGTTTTGTATCTTTTGTAGCCCTGAAGACGACCTGCAAAGTGGTTCGAAACGTCGGCAAAAACTAAAATAATTAATATATTTTAATTTATTATTTAATTGACCGCACCCTCGACTAACTCCTTCTCATGTTAGAAATTATACTTGAAAAAGAATAAGAAAAAAAATAAATAATTTAAGTATGTACAAAAATTACTTCACATGAAAAACCATGAATATTTTTGGTTGAACTTGGCTTGATATATGAAGAAAAGGATATTTGCGCATAACTCAAAAAGTATCCAATTTACGATTTTTTCCAAGATAATTAAAAAGGTAACTAAATTATCAAATAAAAATAAATTAAAAAATGTTTAATTTTTAGACTATTATTGACACGGATATATTCAATTAGTCTTCATAACCAATAATTTTTTCCTCTTAGAAGATACTGCCTTTTCTATTCTACTACCTAAAAAATAAAAAATAAAATAAATAAAATGGGTAAACGAAATCTGACTATTTTTAGCAAATAAATACCCGATAGTGATTTGTAGAAATATTGTGGCCTATATGTTAAATGAAATGTTGTAAACGATCCAAGAAAAACGCAATTAATTCATCGCCACATAATACATAGGATCTACTTATTTCCATATTATTTTGCTATTCTTTCACCAAACCAATATATTCTGCTAATTATACGCACGGGCAAACTAGTGAGAATAGAAATTAAAGGTTATACATAACTGCATGTATTGGAGTGGGCCTATAAGTAAACGATAAAAAAAAATAAATAAATAAAAAAAAACAACAACACAATAACGGAAATAAATGAAGGTGATGCATAATTAAAAAAAATAAAAGCAAAATCATTGAGAATTCAACTTTATTTATTAAAAATCTTGAAGAAATATATTATTTCTTAAATTTATATATATATTTTTTTTTATATAACAGTTATTAATGATTTCATCACTTTTGATAAAATCAGCCACTGATAGTAACATATGCCCGTTTATTTATTTTTTTGTTTTGTTTTAATGTATAGAAAAATAAATATATATTTAAGAACGATAATATAAAATTTAAAAACTTAAACCTAATATTAAATACTGATGATAAATACCCGGCAAAAACTTAAAAATTATTTAATTAAGTAATGTTTTTTAAATTTTATAATATTCATTAACAATTTTAAAATAAACTAATCAAGATATATTTTTTTTTTTTTTATAATTTTATTGAAATATAAAACTGTATTACAATAAAAATACAACAGGTAAATGTGACATTGGTAACATGACATGTAAAATATGAAGAGAAACTACCCATTGGTAGAACTCAAATTAAAGTTCTATATTAGAAGATCCTGAGGCCATTTTCTTTTCAGACACCTCGGAGGGTTATCAGGGATAGAGGAGGAAGCAATGTTTGAAACAAGAGGGTTCGGATGGTTCTGCAGTTTGTTATGGAAGGATAGGTATCTGGATTGGACCAAATCGGAAACATATGGAACATTAAGGTCTTTATGGATGATTTTGTTTATGACAAAGTAAGGAGCATTGAGGATTTTACGAAGGATTTTGGATTGTAAGGATTGGATACGAGAGGAATTCGATGGCTTAGTGGAGCCCCAGAGCTCAATTCCGTAGGTCCAAATAGGTCTTATTATTGTCATATATATGAGTCGTTTGTAATTGAGTGAAAGCTTAGAGTGTTTGTCTAGTAAGTGTTGGAGTAGTCGGAAACGTCGAGCGGTTTCTTGTCGTTACAGTCTTGTATAAGGATTCCATGTGAGTCGTTTGTCGAGGTGGAGTCCTAGGTAACGAATTTGTTCAACTGGGATAAGTGGGGAATTGTTGAAGAATACTGTAGGACAGGCGGTCATAGGTTTGCGACGCAGGGTAAAGGTAATTTGATGGGATTTATTGGAGTTTATTTTAATCCTCCAGTTTTGACACCATTCTTCAAGATTTTTGATGTGTGATTGGAGAGTTTGGGATGCAATTGATGGATCGTTGTTAACTGATAGGATACACGTGTCATCGGCATAGGTGGTGATGACAGTGTTGGGATGGGTTGGAATGTCAGCTGTATAAACTGTGTAAAGGATAGGACCTAGGATACTACCTTGAGGAACATCAGCAAATTGAGATAAAAGAGATGAACAGGCATTTTTGTGATTTACTTTGAAGTATCTATCACTAAGGTAGGAACGGATGATCAAGATATAAATTTGAACATTTGTAATGTATTGAAAATTAAATTAATAACAGACTTTTTTTTTCTCCTGGACATGTGGTAAAGTATATAAACAACCATCCACATTTATATAAATGAAATGAAACTTTAAGACGGTAAAAACTGGTGTTACCTGTGTTATTCGAGAACAGTGATTTCTTCCTTGATGAAAAATTCTACAACTTCCTCGTCTACATTCTGGGTATCAGAATCTAGAGTGTCGGTATCAACATCTACAAAATAACAAACCGAATAAGTTATTGCCATTCATCAACTTACTTTTACCTAGATTTTTTCTTGTATAGATAATGATGATATATTTTTAAATTATTAATACTTAGTATATTGTCGGTTTATTGCGAAAAATCAACAAGTGAAACTTCATAACATTAAATAATCAAGGACTTCCCCTTTAAGAAATCAGAAAATTGTATATTTGTTGTAACTATATTTGATATATAAAAGGGTTTGTTTCATTTCCATGCAATTAGTATGTTTTTGCATTGAAAAATAAAGTTATAATTCACAAAAACACATTTGAAAGTTAACCTATATCAAAAATGTACTTTGTGACTTTTTGTAATAAACTGACGATACATCATAATTTCATTAATATTTAATATTTTATATTTAATATACACTGCTCAGGAGTAGACGAGGATGGATTAATATTACTATTACAAAAATAAAATTTGATGTAATCAAATAAATATTAATTTGAGAGATATGAATATTCAGGACAGTCTTTCTTTAAATTTTTTTTTTTTTAATTGTGCCAACGTTTCAAACCAAACATGTGGGTCATCTTCAGGGCTGAAAATTTTAAAATACAATCAGAAATATAATATTATACGACCGATAATGGTAAATAATAAACTATAGTGATTGACGCTACATGAATCTTAACTAATATTACAATACGCTACAATTGTGTAGTGTATACACTACATATATTAACGTACACTGTATACACTTCAATGGTGTATTGTAATATTAGTCAAGATTCATATACCATCAATCACTATAGTTTATTATTTACCATTATCAGTCGTATAATATTATATCTCTGATTGCATTTTAAAATTTTCAGCCCTGAAGATAATCCACATGTTTGGATTAAATGTTGGCACAAATAAAATATTTATTTTTTTTAAATGACTGCGTCCTAAATATTTACCACCCATGATATGTAGAACAGTCGACTAGCTTCCTTCAATAATTCATCAATATTAATTTGATTAATCATCACTTTAATAGGTTTAAAACATTTTCAAAAATACAGAATCCACTTACTATTTCGAAGTTGTAACCTCCTCTGTTTCTGCGATTGCCATACAGCCAGAACCGATTGCCTATAGTCTTCGAATTTCTTCATCGCTGCCGCTCGCTTTTCAATCAGTTCCTAAACAAATATAACACATTATGTTATTACGATCATAAAAAATAAAAATAAATCAAGAAAGGATTTTAATAAATCATAGCAGTTAACACTTAAGAAAGGAGGTTTAAACAAAAAAAAAAAAAAAAAATCGGTACATTCGTTTAGGTGCTTGAGTCTACAGCAACACAGGTTTTTCTGCATTTTTATTTATTTTTTCCTTTACTAACTTATCAAATTCTTTCAAAAGTTATATCTAGCATTTTTTCGTAACTCTGAATAATGCAAAATGATTAGCATTTTAAAATAAACCATATTAAACGTACTTTAGAGGAAGAAATATATGAACATTGGGCATTTAAGCCCTGTAAGTTGAAATCAACGGGGATAAGACCTAAATGATATCTAAGACCACTTAATTATACAATGATTCACAAAGTTTAATCAAAATCGTTAAGAGCCGTTTTTGAGAAAATTGTAAAAATGTGTTTCAGAGTTCATATAAAGTGGCACTTCCGGTTAGCCAATTTTAACAAAAAATTTGCTGTCACATCCTGACCATATATAAACCTTAAATACTTAATTTCAGTTCCATACTACTTTTCGTTTATGAGCTAGACTGTTAACACACACACAGACCATTTTGCGACACTTGGTTATTTGGACTCAGGGGGACCTCAAAACACGTATTTCCGTTGAAAACTGAGATTCGAAAATTTTCAATTTCGCAATACTTATCCTTACTATATATTACATATATACGTAAGTGAAAGTAAAAAAGAGAACATTGTGATGAAGTTTGGATCAAAGCCAATTCCTCTAAAGCAAATGTTTAGAAACCCTTACCCCAATATGGGATTGCCTGCTGAAACCTTTTTCCCTCGCCTCTCCAGGTCATCAAAATAATTGCGATAAGACATAAGTTATCTTTCTAATAGTAGTTTAGTGATAGAGATATTGTTGACCAAAGATTGAATAGTAAAAGTTGTTTAGGAGATGAAGATCTAAAACTCAAAGTCAGGGGTCACCTAAGGAAGATCCTTTCAACTCAAGGTTACCGCCCGCCATTTTGTTTCAAAATAAAAACAAAAAACATGTGTTCCTATAAACTGTAGAAAAAAAAAAAAAACAGTTGTACCAATTTTATTGAAATGGCTAGTCTTCTCCTTGAAGTCTATTAAATTTATGTATCTGACTATCTGACTTACTTCCCGAAATGAAAACCAAAAAAAAAAGCTAAGATGAATGCAGAATTTTATTGGTAAATAACTCAAAAAGTACACACTGTTTGGATGATAAAATGTACACTTAATTGAAAGTTAATTAAATTCACTAAAAATAAATAAAATTACTTTGTTTTACTTTTTGTGGATCACTAGTAAACTTTTCGTCTCCCCCAACACTTAGGATTATCATTATTAGAATAATTTTATTGTGTGTATTTCTTAAACGAAACATGAAAAAAAAAAAAAAAAAAAAACGTAAGTAGACCAATATTAACCTCTTTAACAATAAATATTTTCTAGTCTTAAAATAATTAAAACAAAAATTTATATAGTATTTTCCTCATAAGTGGTAATGAAAGTAGAGAGACACACGTTACACTTAGAACTCTTCAAAAATAATAAACCATTGCATAATAATTCACAGTATATATCCATACATATATTATTACAGTAAGGCTCGAATTCGGTTTTGTACCAAATATAAGCTCCTGTCATACTCAAATACCCTGAATGGGGTACCGTTGGATTCAGAATTTCACAGGGAGATAGCGAATTGTATTCTCCACTTTTGTTTTTCTTTCTAAAATAAATAAAGTAGATACAAACATTTTGCTAGGCTTCAATACTGGAACGGTGGTAGGTCTGTAGATCGATACGGGACAAATAGGACCTTGAAGATTTTGATGCGTACAGCAAAACCCGGATAGTTCCTCCGCAACTATCGGATCCTGCGTTTTTAAGCCCAAAAACATACTATTTTCGAGATAACGCAAGGCATGGGGCTCGCATCCACACAACCTGACGTTAATTGTAGTACTGTCATTGGATACATGTCTCATTTCGTCGACTTGAGGTCTCTATGATCGAGACAGGAGGAGTTTATATTATTTATCGATGGTGTTTTTGATCGGCAAGCCATATCATCGTCAATTCTTCACCAAATCTCAAGATTGAGCCACCAATTTCGAAGGCTTCCTTCTCCTTCAGGTGGGAAAAATATTCCAATCACCCCGAAAAATCAGGCAAACAAGTTATGAAAAAAAAGAAACTTTATTTGCGAATAACTAAAAAATTACACACTTTTCCCTTGGTTATTCCCATGATTGTATAAAACGTTACTGAATTGTCTACAAAAGAAATTAATAAAAAAAAAAATCATTGAAATCAGACAATTTTTCGCAATGATACAGCTTATTGAAATTTCTAAATATGTTGGTTCCAAACAAAAATGAAGATTTAAATTAATTTTGTTTCCTTTGTGGATTATATTTATGGATAAAGTAACAATTGATTCCTTTATCTTTTGAGACGTTGCATTATTTTATTTTCTTATTAATTTGGCATTTGATAACAATATGCTGTGCGAATTTTTCACATGGGCCTATTAGTATATATATTTTTTTTAGTGAATAGCAATGCTACTCATCAAACACTAATAGTATTTGTGATAATGAAATATTAAAGATTAATAATTCAAAAAATTTACCTTTGAAGCTCTAGTCATCCTCATTCTATCCTTTGATTCAAATTGAGCACTGTACTTCTTCAAGTTCTTCTTGATGTCTTTCTGCTGCTCCGCTGAAAGCAGAGTAGGAGGACGGGGCCTCCACTGCAGCAAACAGAACTTCTGCATGTTGTTCCTCGACAATATGCGCCCTTGGAATGTCCATATCCAATATCCTGGATCTTCCTGATTTTTTAACAAATTGAAACTTTATTAAAAAAAAAATTATTTAAATATATCACAGTTGAAGTAAGAAAATTGTTTCATTTATACATTAAATATTATATTCCCAACTAAATTTGTAACGAAAAATGAAATAAAATAAAAAAATTAGTTCGTAAAATAATTTTTAGTTTTTGTAAATAATAATAAGATTTTTTTTTACTAACTCAAAGAGTGTTAAATATAAAATTAAGTATTTAGTATTAGTTTTAATAATAAGTAAGTGTTTATAATAAGTATTAGTTATAAATACAGTATAGTTATAAATAATTAATTTTTAAGTGAGTATAACAGCCAAAATATGAGGGAGAAAAACAAAAGACAGACTAGAGAGAGATGGCGGAACGTCGCGAGTGTAGAGGCACATTAAGGATTTGTGTGTGTGAAATATTTTAGTTTTACGGTGTACACCAGATTTTCTTTTCCTCTCAAAGAACCTGTGATTACCAGCGACGAGTGCCGCTTGATTTTACAAGTTGGTGAATGAACATCTTCACAACTTCAGGAGGTGGACTGGGGAGACACTAACGACGCTAGCTGGAATAAGTTCCCGCTTCCTCAGATAACTCAATGTGCCAATTGGACAAAGTTCGGCATTGAGACTTTGTAAATATGTATATATAAGTTTTTATTTCCTATCTTTTTTTTTTCTTCAAATATTTGTAATTGGTTTATTGTATAGTCGTAAGTTAATGTTTAGTTCTATAATAATTTTATAATCTTTTCTTTGATAATTAAAGTTAATTGTATTTTATTTGTTTTCTTATAAATCTAATTTCTTGCTCATAATTTTCATTTCTTTTAACAGTTATTTAAATAAATAGAAATAAGCAAATTCATCATTAGTATTAATAATAGCCAGTTTTATTTTCTTATTTTACTTCTGTTTGTTTTCATGTTTTACGTATATATTATATTGTTTTTTTAGGTTTAATAAGGAACTGTAAAACCCTATTCGAGGGATTAGGGAAAGTGATTATTAACCAAGTAAAAAGGTTCAATAGGTTATGAGGTTAATTAACATATGTTCTTAAACCCAAAGGTTCCGAGTTCGTAGCTCACTCCGCATCCCAACCTTTTTTTTTTTAATTAAATTTATTTATTTATTTTTTTATTATTATGGTTTTCTCTATTTTCCAAATTCAACAAATCAAATAGCGTGGCGCCTGTTAGATAGTTAGAAATATTTAATTGACCCTTCATTAATTTTATTTTTTTACGAACCCTGCCGTCTCCACTGAGCATCTGGCAAGCTTTTTGAGGAAACAAACTTTCTAAATTAAAGACCGTAACAAATTGTCATGTTGATTATCATAATTAAATTATATGAATATAACTTACTTTCGACTTCCAAAAGGAAGTTGCCGTTATGACATAACGTCCTGTAGGATCCCATTCAACCTCACTGCATCTGAAATGTTCCGTAGTGTTCATTGAAGTGAAATCGGCTGTATCGACAAACTCTAAACTTCCATTTCCTCTCAGATCAGCCATAACGATGAACTGGCCTGCAGGAGACCAAAATAATGCGTTACACGTCCTCTTTTCCAGCTTTTCTGAAAAAAAAAAAAAAAAGAAGAACCATCACTATGTGGAATCAAGATTTAAAAATAAACAGTAAAAACTATAAGTTTTATAAACTTACTAAGTAATACAGGCTTATGTCCAGGCCTGAGGCCGTAAAATGAAACGCTGAGGTTGGATGTTTCTCCATGAATTACGGCGAAAGTAGAACCTACGGGCTCCCATGCGAAGGAATGGATTGCTTCCTTGATTTCAACGCTATCTACTGGCACATTTTTTTCTCGCAAATGGAATATCTCAAAATTGTAGTACATACCCTACAACAAGAGAATGATTATACAGTTTAAATTGCAAATAAAGTTTAAATTTCTTTGATATGAGAAATCACACATTTTTCCATTTAAAAATAGTGAGAATGATAGCGATTCTAGATCGAAAGGTAATTTTATGTCTTGTGGCAATAAAAATTAAGTTTAATCATAATTAACTTAACATAATTATGTTGAGTCATTTCAGTTGAATAAACTTTTTTATGTTCTGAAAACTGATACATTCTTAATGAGTTATTTTAATTTTTATCCGACAAAGCGAAGCGACACACTTGTGATGTGTTTGGGTTATTCACTAAAAGCTATGTAACAATTTTTTGAGCTAATGGCGGGATCCATTTTTAAGTTAAAAGCACAAATTATTCGGTGAACTCTCTAGAGTGTTTTGAAACAATCTGAGTTAAATAATAAAATACTGACCCGTTATTAAATAAAATGTGTTTAAACAATCTGCAATAAGCTATGTTTTTAAACAAATTTCTGGATTAATTTTTAAGTTGTTTCATTTAATTTCCAGGAGAAATATTAATGTTTTGTTTCTACTCTATCTTAGACGGATAACTAAAACTGAAAATGATAAGAATAAACAATTTTAATTATTTAACTAAAACTAAAAAATATGGTATTAAAACATAAAATCAAAACCGAAAGATAAGATAAAATATTATACAGAATCATAAAATGAAGGTAGTAATGTTCCTAGGAGGTTTCAGGTCACATTCATATCTTAATTATTTCTTTTAACTAAATGAGGATTTTTAAAGAGATTAGGAAAAAAAATTTTGTTACAAAAGTATTTAAGAATTATCGAGTTTACTGTAGATAAAGGAAAAAATGAATATTTATCCAAATGTCTCAGAATATTATATTAATTAATCAATTGTTAATTAAAATAATTTATTAAATAACTCCTCATAAACTGATACCACTATAGATCATTTACATCTAGAACAGTCTAAATTTAAAAGCATACTTACAATATACTTGGTTTCGCCCTTTTCTTTTTTGCACCTCGTATATCTGTCAACTTTCACACATAGGTAGTCACCGGACTTTTGCCAATGTATCTTACAGTCGCATACATTAAATAAATTATTTGCTCTCACTTCATTACGACTGAAAACAATTACAAAAATAAATTATACACATATTATTCTCAAATTTATTAAAATAACACATAAAAAAAAAAAAAAAAAAAATCATGGAGATAATAATGATGAAATCAAGGTATAGACCAAAGTACTAAAACTGACCTCAGTAAAGCTTAAACCATTAAAACACATCATGTAAATTCAAGGAAAATATTTTCTCATCATCGGTCAGGAAAGTTATTACTATAGTAAAATATAGGAATAAAATGAAAAATAGACTCGACCACTGTTGAAAGATCCTCTCAATCAAGATTCCGAATTCGGTAAAATTTAGGTTTACATTTTAAATTAAATGTATACTTTTTATTTTGTTTCAGAATCAATGAAATTAGTTTAACAATCAATATTTTTATTGAAAAGATACATTTTCATCATTAAAGTTCAATAAATAAATGAAAATCTCTGCCTATACCAGGATAAATATTTAAAGATATTTAGAATATGCACATATTGTCAGCACACCATGTTAAAGTAACGAATGTGAGCCTATTTAACGTTTGCATATTCGTTACTTCCTTTAACATGGTACCGACAATATCTATTTACATCATATTATTAATAATGAAATATTTTTCAGAAATATTAACTCATTTATAATTAAAATTGATCTTACAAAATTTATACCTAGGTACTTCCATGAGAACAACTCTTGCTGGCACATCCTTGCTTTCCGATACCCAATAAGCAAGAATATTATCTGTTGGTGACCAGGCAAAATCTCGAATACCAGGCAACTTGACACTCTTTTTGTCCAGTAAACCAAACGACTGGAAAAAGAAGAAAAGGATAAAATAAAAATAATTATTAAATAACACATCAAAATAAATCAAGACAAGAAAGACCAAACTTTTATATATTTATATTATAGTGAAACATTGTATACTACTGAGCCTATTTTGATTCTGCTCCACAGAAAACATTGTGGTTGCCAAAAAAAAAAAAATTAATCCCCATACAAATTGATTAATGGGAAATGTGTCTTAATCGTCAATTGTTATTTTTTTGTGAAGACTAGGTAATAAAAGGAAAATCGTAATAATTCCAGAATTTTTCCAATGTCTATTCGTAGAGATAAGTTTTGTCACAGAAAAGATGATTGGTACGCTACAGATCATGAAAGTCTAACTCTATACTAAATGTGTTAGCTTAGTAAAGCATTTGCATTTTTAAAACTTCGAATTAAGAAATATCTTCTTTTTTTCTTTTCCTTTTGTTGTCTGTAAATAAAAATGATTTTCTTTATGACTGGTGAGAATGATTGTTTTTCATGCATAATTCCTGGTCTTCAATTCAATCAAGAAGAATTCAAGTCTGCTAGATACCCTAATGAGATACTAGCACACATACACACATATTTTATCTAAATTCATCTCTCTTCACTTTTTAAAAAAATTAAAATTAATAATAATAAAAATTAATTCACTATTAAGAAGTGTTGTTTCATTGCTATTAAATAATACTCACGGGTGTTTCGTAGACACTAAGAACATCATGACCGATCTTAGCGAAGTATTTATCATCCTTGGACCATTTAAAAATTGGCCAGACGGGTGGACCATCCGGTTCAAAGGATCTCATAATTTCCCCTCGCCTGATATCCCAAATTATAAGAATGCCTTGATCATGGTTCTGTGCTGTCGAAGAGTATGTCACCAAGTAGCTGAAAGTAAAAAAATAATTAATATAAATGTATATATTTAAATTAACTGATTTGAAAATTAAACTTTTATTATAAAAGTAATCCTCAGTGTCAATTTAATACTTAATAAATACAGGAACGAGTCATAAAATTTAAATTTTGAACAATTAAGTTTCGAAAATATTTGTTTTTGAAAATAAATTTTCTGACTAGATATTACTAAATACAGACTACAATACTTTGAAGTAAATATACATAAAAATATAGAACAAACCTAATGGCAATAGGTATTAGAATTCAAAAGATAAAAACATTTCAGACCTCAGAAAAGCTTAAACCATTTATAAGCATCATAAATGTTCAGGAAGAAAATTATCATCATAGAGCTGCCACTCTAAAATACATATTTTAATTTATAGGTTAATTTTTTTTTTGGATAGTTGGCCCATGCAAATAATTCACGTAGAGTATCTGTCAGTGAACATACGACAAAATAATAAGGAAATGAAATAATGTAACATATCATAAGATGAAGGGATCAAAATAATTTAATACAATCATGGTATAATTTTGAATTGAAATACTTTTACAGATACAAAGTCAGAATCAATATTTCTGCCAAGGGGAGAGCGACAAAAATAATTACGCCCCTCTCCATCTTTCACATCTCCGTTTCAATAAAAAAAAAATTAATATTTTATGTGATATATTACTAAAATAAATATGTTATCTGGTAATATTAGCTCATTTTATTGCCTGCATTAAGGTCAAAACAATAAAAAGACAGCAGAAAATATCTTATACATAAAGTATATTAAATTTGTTGAAAATTAGGGGTTTTAGAAGTTTTCCCACCCACAGCTACTTTTGTCTCCTTTGGCAACTCTAGTTCTGACTATGTACTGATGACTTAGAAAATGATAGAGTGACCTCAGTAAAGCTTAAACCATTTATAAAAATCATTAATGATCAAAAAAGAAAAATTATCATCATAGGTCATAGTACCAGTAACAAAGCTATCAAAGAAAAAGGAATCAATAAGCTTTTTTTTTTTTAATTTTTTATTCATAAAGTAAGTAATATAGGTGTTAACGCCGCATACTTGTATCATTATTTTGTCTCACCCTTTTTTAATGTTAATTAAATAAATGTTTATTTATTTCTTTTATTATAGTCATGGAATAACTGCCTCTGAAATGTATAGTATTTAAATATTAGGTATTTTGCGATGTATTATTGCATTTGTATATAAACACCAGCCCAGCAGTGATACTGAATCATAAGGATTAAGGCACCAATAATTGTGATACGACTGCCGGGAGTCAGTCTGGAGCGAGCTTTCGTAGACGCAGGACCTAAGTATTTGGACATCAGATCTCCCCATCCCACCAGCTGCTCCCATTTCAACTCACCTAGCGCCATTGAAAATTACAGCTGTTATAGGCTTATAGATCGAGATCGATAAGCCTATCAATTCGATACTCCCCACCATCGACTGCAAGACCACAAAAAGTAACCTCGTTGGAACTAGTGCTTCTGCTTCCAACTTGGATCTTCTCCACCATCACCAAAATACATTAAAATGTTAATTTATTTTTTCTCTTCAAGTTATTTTCTCTCTTTTAGTTTATGTTTTACTTCTCGATGGACAATTTTTATTTTCTCATTGGATTATATTTATGTTTTTATTTATAACTCGTGACTTTAGACCATTGTTTATTTTAACCTTTGTATATATTTATTCTCTCTTTTTTTATTCAATAAATATTGTAAACATTCAAAAGGGGGATTATTTATTTATTTTCCGTTTTGATAAATGAATATTTTTATTTTATATTATTTGATGTGCATGCATTTTTTCTTCTTTTAAAGGTCTCATCTTCTACTCATTTCTTCCCTTCTTTCCCATTGCTTCATTTTATTTTTATTTTCCCTATCTTTGAGGAATCTCAAAGGGGAAAGATTTGTGTTTCATTTTGAAATACCCCTGACCCCAACAATAGGTATAGAAAGAAAATGTAGATATCTATATAAACCTGGGGAAATTACCACAGAATTATTAAATATTTTTATAAGTAAGATTTCAACTGGAATAATATAATAATATTCTTTAATAAAAAACTGAAAATAGATTAAATTAAAACAATACAACAGAGCTGGTTAATTAGATTGGAAATGACACCTTTCTACAAATAAAAACGTTGACAAGTTTATTTCAAGTCTAATTCACCTTTAAATGAAATTAAGCAACATTTCTTATGTTTTAATTATTAATCTATCAATATATTTTCATCACATATTATGAAGTTTATTCATCATTTTCATGAATGATAGATATCAACTCTTGACAACAAAATATAAGAGATGGAGACCTCAGAAAAGCTTAAACCTTTTAAACATCATACAATTTTCGAGTACAAACAATTATCATCATAGGTCTACGACATAACAATAATTTTAAATAACTTAAAATTTGAAATTCATTTTTAACATGTTGCAACACAGCTAAAGATATATCATAACTTTTATTGATCAATTTAAATAGTAGTGTTAAATTAATGTTCTAACTCAACAGAACAGCTCTTAAGGGAAATCAGAGCAATCTACACAGGAAATTATGAAGTTTATTCATCATCTTCATGAATGATAGATATCAACAATGGACAACAAAATTTAAGAGATGGAGACCTCAGAAAAGCTTAAACCATTTAAACATCATACAATTTCAAGAACAAAAAATTATCATCATAGGTCTACCGCATTTTAAAAACTTTAATTTGAAATTCATTTCTAACATATGTTGCAACACAGCTAAAGATATATCATAACTTTTATTTATCAATTTAAATAGTAGTGTTAAATTAATGTTCTAACTCAACAGAACAGCTCTTAAGAAAAATCAGAGCAATCTACACAGGAAATTATGAAGTTTATTCATCATTTTCATGAATGATAGATATCAAAAATTGACAACAAAATTTAAGAGATGGAGACCTCAGAAAAGCTTAAACCATTTAAACATCATACAATTTCAAGAACAAACAATTATCATCATAGGTCTACCACTATTTGTGCCAAAATAGTTTGAATTTCCCGCGTTACGGCAAGTGGTGGGGGCAGATCAGAAGATCTAAAAGATAACACTTAATCCTCAAGAGCTGCTTGTTTCTCGGCGCATTCCTCCACAGGTAGCCACCGAGACAGCACCAACAACGGCACTTGAGGGCCCTCAGGTAATGGAGAGAAGTAAACTTGCGCAAAGATGGTAAGCTATTTGTGTACTATCAGTATAATCTACCAATCCATTAAAAATACAGTTCACTGCATAAAAGTAGAATGTTAGCCATAATTTTGAATGTTGCTAATCAAAAACTCATGAGAGTTATTTGCCTTACCTTAATTTGAAAAGTTGCCTAAACAACCACATAAAAATAATTTAAAAAAAAACTTAAAATTTGAAATGATTGGCGCACAATGGACCCAGTAGGGGTCGACGTGCTTAAGGCCAACAAATATAAATAATAATAAAATTAGAAATTCATATTTAACACGTTGCAACACAGCTAAAGATATATCATAACTTTTATTTATTAATTTAAAAAGTAGTGTTAAATTAATGTTCCAATTGGACAGAACAGCTCTAAGGAAAATAAGAGCAATCTATACGTTAAGGTAAATTAAACTAAAAAACGTGTTCAAACTAAGGTTGGCAGAGTGGAATAGGACAGGGACGCCTTTGAGCAGATTCTGTCACAAGAAGACGAAACAGCTGTTCTAATAATTTGTTGGCGGGATAGGTTAACCGGGCTTGGTCTCTAACCAATTGGTGTGGAACGATTGATGGATCCCAATGGTTACGAGCTACTAAATCCAACAAGCCTACTAAAATAAAAAAAATTAATATGATACCTTAATAGACCTAATAAGAAATGAAGTGTATACAGCAAAAAAATAATAAAAGTTTTGAGCAAATGCCGAATATCAAATCACTTAAGTAAAAGGAATTGTCATTTTAACATCAATAAATAAAAACAATTTTTCATTAATATTCACTCATCTTTACAACAGTGTATCTTTCACAAATAAATTTAGAAATTTTATATCAGATTTTTTTTTATAAATTAAAGAAAAACATGTTGAGTGAATATGTAGATTGAAGATTGGGTAAATAAATGAAAAAATAAAAAAAAATAAACAAAGACGGTTTCAATCCCTTTGATTTTAAATATATTTAAATGTGTAACAAGCAGAGTTTCCACTTCGGAGAAAAAATTCCCTTTTCAGGGAAATTCCAAGGTTGTGAGGGAAAAAAGAGAAACAATTTTTATCAATCAAAGCTAAAGCAATACACAGTTTCATCCTCTTTTTTTTTTTTTTTTTTTAATAATAAAAGTAAAACAACATAAAATGAGTTGTTACATATATTATTTATTAGTTTGTATATATTTGGGTGAAAGGAGTTTTTATGTTTGTTCTGCGGAAAAAAAGGGAAAATCTGACTGACCAAAAGGGAAATGGAAAAAAAATATGGTGGAAACGCTGGTAACAAGCAGGTTGGAGTTTCCCTTTTCAGGGAAATTCCAAGGTTGTGAGGGAAAAAAGGGAAACAATTTTTATCAATCAAAGCTAAAGCAATACACAGTTTCATCCTCTTTTTTTTTTTTTTTTTTTAATAATAAAAGTAAAACAACATAAAATGAGTTGTTACACATATTATTTATTAGTTTGTATATATTTGGGTGAAAGGAGTTTTCATGTTTGTTCTGCGGAAAAAAAGGGAAAATCTGACTGACCAAAAGGGAAATAGAAAAAAATATGGTGGAAACGCTGGTAACAAGCAGGTTGGAGTTTCCCTTTTCAGGGAAATTCCAAGGTTGTGAGGGAAAAAAGGGAAACAATTTTTATCAATCAAAGCTAAAGCAATACACAGTTTCATCCTCTTTTTTTTTTTGTTTTTTTTTAAATAATAAAAGTAAAACAACATAAAACGAGTTGTTACACATATTATTTATTAGTTTGTATATATTTGGGTGAAAAGAGTTTTTATGTTTGTTCTGCGGAAAAAAAGGGAAAATCTGACTGACCAAAAGGGAAATGGAAAAAAAATATGGTGGAAACGCTGGTAACAAGGTATTAAGCAGGGTTTGAAAAAAAAAAAAAAAGCTTTTATTTTCAAAAATTTCAGTATCACTGGAATTTTTATTGTTAATAGTTTTTCAGGTCTTTTGGAACTAGAACTTATATAATAGAAAATTTTCGAGTAAAGATTTCACACAGAACTTTTATTTAAAATTGCTGTCAATTTTGCTAAATACTCTATCAAAAAATGACTTTAATTCATAGATAATCATACTAATAACACATTAGAATTGTGCGAAAATTCATTTATGACAAATTATAACTCTAAGCCTAATTACTGTTTTTATTAAACAGAACTTTTTTTTTTAAGAACTTGAATAAATTAAAGTTAAACTTTTACAATAAATCTGGAACTTGATTACAAAAAAGTTTTAATCCTTGGTATAAATAATTAAATAGACATTTATTTCCTGACAAATTTATTTATTAATACTGGAAGATATAATCATGACCTCAGTAAAGCTTAAACCATTTAAGCATCATTTTAATTTCAAATAAAATAATTATCATCATAGGTCAAAAATAATTTGGTAATAAATAATGGAGGAGTGGATGTGAGAGGGATGGATTGATATAGTGTTTTAATGTCGACACTTTGAACAGATCATATGCTACCAGTACAAAGATACGAACACTACTAATAATATCTCAAGTGACTAGTAAACAGAACATGTTTAAAATTTCATAACATTTAAAAAATATGAAGATTGATAGATAAGTGCCCGACCAAACATCAACATGATGCAATATTCTAATGGGTAGTTCAATTAGTTAATAAACAGGGACCATTTAATTAAAAGGAAAATCCAAACTTGATTACTAAAATGAATGATCATGTATAGTTTAATTTTGTATTCCCTATACCCTTATTAAATAAAAATGTAAAAATACTTCAGCTGTAAGTAACATTGATCAAACAGTCCAAATTTTGATACTTGATCTAAAAGTGTTCAAATTATTAAATGAAAGTAACTGTATCAAGAATATTAGAAAATACTCTGCGATTGACAAACATTAAAAAAAAAAAAATTAAATTCATAAATTCAATTGAACTTCTACCAAGAAAACAAGTTAAGTTTCATTATCATTTAAAATGAACAACTAACTATCCAATTCCGTATCATTTTAAGGAAATATCTCCATCCCTTCAAACCAGAACTGCCTAGAATGCTATCATAATTTTTGAGGACACATTTTGACCAGGTTATGAATTTTCAGAATGAAAAGTTTCAAACGAGGAGACAAGAGGAAAAACATGAAACAGATCACGGTAAGTATAATTTTAAGTATATTTTTTTTTTTTATTTTTTTTTTTTTAAATTATTCTCCCTTATTACTCAACAGTTATTTTTCTTTTGAATTTTTCATCCCCTTTCTATTAAATTTCGTTCAATTTTCCATAATATTTATGAATAATATATCTCTCGTCCCTATTTACGCTTCCGGTACTTTAGTTCAAACTTCGTCAGATAACCGTTAGAGATGACGCCACAATACATCTCTTCTCTCCCCCCTCCCTTGCTACTTTTTTTGCTTCTCCTTTCAACACTGATTGAGACAGGTACTCTTTTCTTTTATATCTTTCTTATTTCAGCTTTTTCAGTTTCTTCCCTCCTTCCTTTTATTCCGTTTCTCGGTTTTAACTCTTTATTATATTATACAGTCTGTACATCTTGATAGACTTAACAATACCTCAATTTTCAACCTAACTACTCTATTCACAATGTCTTAATTTTACTATTTATTTTCATATCTTATATAACTTCATATTCCTTTTTCTGTTTTACATTTTATTCTAAGATTCCCATTTTAATACTTATGTCACCTTTTTTGATCATGTTTACTTCATCATTCCACACTTTGTAACGGTTTTTATTATTTATCTCTTTAGTTCTTACTATTGTCATTATTTTAACAACTCCATTTTACTTTATTTTTTTTTTTTTTTACCTACACTACTTATGTTTCTCATACCTTGTTATCTGGTTCTTTTCTTAGCCCTGATGAAGGCCTAAACTTCAGGTCGAAACGTCCGCTAATGTCAAAATAAATATTATCATTTTTTTTTTTTTTTTTGCCTTCTTATTTGACTGATCACCCCAACTATTCTTCTCTTCATTATTCACGACAGTCAACCATTTTATCCACAATTAAGTATAATTATATATGATCGACAATCTTTTTTTTTTTTAAATCTATTTTCGCTGGCAGTTTTTAAGAGGAAACCAATATAACATTTTGGGAAGAGAGGAGGTACATACATACACTACCAACCTTGGGGGATGGGCACTCCTGCCTCAAATACCTGTTTATTATCTTCAAGTTTTAATAATATCTTCGTAATTAAAAATTATGCATTTAAGAGAAATTACACTATTTTACATTCAGTAAACTACATTAGAAACCGCAATAAAAAAAGTAATAAAATTAAAATTTAGATTGTTCTAGATTGCATAGAAAAAAAAAAAAAATGCCTATTAAAAAATATGAGTTAACAGGCTTAAATGTAATGAGTACAACTCATAAAATAATGAGAAATGAACTAATAATAATTTGGTCAACCACATAAAATTGCAACAAACAAATATGAAAGGTAGAAGTTAAACATGAATGAAAAATAGATAATTACTCTAGTTGCTTGTCAATTTAAAAAAATAAATATATCAACAGAAAAATATTAATTAAAATAAAAAAAATAAATTTGGAGTAAAAATTTAATAAAACAATTAGAAACTTAGTCAACTATCAGTAGATATTAGTTTATTCATATAAGGGAATTTGATTTCAATTAAGTTTACATAAGTATAATATTGAATAATATAAGTTATTGAATTTATATAATAATAATAACACAAAGATAATGGAGAAAAAATAGTTTATATTACAAAAGTAACATGTAAGTTATTTTTATAAAGAGTAAGGATTGTTCATGAAAATATATTTTTATCAGAAAAAAACAGCCACACTCGTCAAGTCAAAGTTATGTTGAGTGACACAGCAACTGATTTATATCCTTTCATTTTTCATTGTGTGAGAGATGAAAATGATTCATAACAATTAATATATTGAATAGAATTTTTTTTTAAATACTACATTGATTTATAATAAAAATAAAACAATAAAACAGCTACAGGTAAGTAGCCAAGAAAAAACGAGTATTCAGTTTGTATACAATAGATATGTAATTAATAAAATAAAAAAAAACTGATATCTACTCTAATAAGATTTTTAGTATACTTCTGTCAATTTTATTATTTAAAAAAAAAAAAACAACAACTGGAAATAGTTAACAGTTAAGATATTCAGGAATATAACTTACTTTTCACAGGGCGAAAATTCAATGTGTTGAACTTCAATATGAGTAAACCTCATAATTTGTTCGAATGCAGGTCCACCCCAAAGAGCAACACCCTTTTGATGGATGGTTGCGAGGTACGTTCCCAAAGGGGACCACTGGATGAACATCTCGGTCCATCTCTAGAATAGAAAAGTTAAACGTAACAAACTAATTTAAATGATAACAGTTATAATAAAGTAAGCATGACATAAATGCAGGGAGTGAAATTGTAATAAAAATAATAAATATTTGTATGCTATTGTAGCCTGCAATAAAAATTAATTAAATAATTACCCATTCATAGCTAAAGGAATTAAGTAAACATGAATATGAAGTTATGAAAAAAAAAATGAAAGTGAAATTTTAGAAGTTACTAAGAATAATAATATAATTTTAAAAATACATCTTTTCATTAGCATAGATTCAAAAATGGATTCATGACCGAATTGAAGTCATATGACTTCAATTTTGGCAGTAATTTAGAAATAATATCCGCATTTTTGATTTTGATTATTATTTTAATTTTTAACCTCCCCCCTCTCTACATAAAACCCTAAATGCAATTTAATCCTTTCGGTTGGGTAATAGCCATTGACCAAGCTTATTAAATACTGTGAAACCCAATTTTTGGGGCAAAGAATGTAAGTAAATAAAGATTTTAACAAATGTATATAAAATAATTTGGAGAAAAAATTATGTATTTTTTTTAGTTGATAACGACTGTTTCATGAAGGAACATATAAGAAATTAATTGTATTGTTTTAGATTACTGAAAAAGGGGGCAAAGATTCGCCAAAACCTCCAATAATAAATAGAGATCAAAAACTAATTTAATTATAATAAGGGTGAATAAAAATCTCTATTAATTTATTGATTTTTTTTGTAAGATGGAGAAAAAAATAGACATCAGCTTACAGTTTTGGTTTTTAACTTTTTATTTTAATCAAATGGTTGGTATAAATCAAAATTGAATCCTCCCCCAGAAAGTTAGAATGAGAAATGATCAATTTTATAAATAACATCTAATTTCTAATTTCATAAATTTTCAATGTAACTTTGTTTTTATGGAACCAAGAATGGAACTTTTCACCGTGAATGCATTCAAAATAACTAACTCCAGTAAAAAAAAAAGAAGTGACACCTAGATTTTGTTCCTCACTCTTTAAAAAAACAAATCCATATCATGTGTAAATAACAATTTAAATTATTAAGATGTCACGCTTGCAAACTATGATAGTTTTAAAAGATCATGAGTAGAAAAAGTTGGGTAAGCCAAACCTGACTGACTGGTCCCCCACCTAAAAATGTTAAGCCAATCCCAAAATATTGGACCATATGTATTAGAACATCAATAAATTGCTCTAAATCAATAGTTGACGATTTAATAACAAATAATACTCAATGAGAATACTTAAAAACACCACAGAACCCAAACTATATGTATAAATTAGAGAAGTAAAGTGCCACATATGCTACACCATGATCAGATCAAATGAATAACTTTAAAATAAAATAATATTATTAGAATGAAAATAAAAGTGTTTCATATAATAATTTAGGCATTAATGCGTATTCAAAATATGCAATTATTATAAACATCGAAGATATTTCTAATGACTTTTTAATAATTTAAATGACAATTAAAAATTAGATTTAACTGATAAACAAATCAAACATACAGCTCTCTCTTCAACTTTAGTAGGTTGAGGCACTGTATTTAACCAGATTTGAACTGGATTTCCTCCGCTACAAATAACACTAAACTGATCATATGCATCGGGTTCTAGGAGATAATAATGTAAATCCCTTTGCTCCTTATATGGTTGGGGATCTGGAGGAATCCAATCGTCAGGTATCTCTTCATACCTACAAAAAACATGTATAACTAAATGCAAAGGGGAACAATGACTTAACTACTATAAATACTGTTGCAATATAAGCTGCAAACTTAGAATAACTTGATCATAAAATAACTAACTTTTTAAAGTCAGAGAAGAGGTTTACTTGAAACGTATGGCTCTTGTCTATTTTATAGTTATTCGTCGCATTCACTGCATCAATAGCACTCTGAGGATTACTAAATTCAATAAATATATACCTAAAAAAAAAGAAAAATATAATAACACTACTAAGATAGAGGATTGACAATGTATAACAAATTATGGACCTACCCTTTTGTGATGTCCTTTTCGTTTAAAGGATAGTGCTCATTGATTATATTACCAAATTTGCTGTAGATTTTGGCAATCACAGACTGCAACTTTTCTAATCTTTCAGGTCCTACTTGGGGGACTCCATCTACTACAATGATGGAATCAACACCATCGATTGCTTCAGGCTTTTCAACTAAGATATCTCCGACAAGTTCTAGACAAAAATGCTTCAACGTTAGCTTCAAATTAATAAGAGGTTCAACTCAATAGTTATTGCTTACTATAACCTTACATAACAGCACACTACAAAACATAACTTATAACAAACATAATCATATGTAATTGACAATGATTATACTTCTGATTTAAGCACCCAACGCCTCAACTTTGAAAATATGGAACAAAAAATGCTAAAGAGCATATGCCAGGTCACACCTAAGCTGAATGAGCAATAACACTGATTAATTACCTTCATCGGAAATTTTATCCACATATCCCTCTGGATCATCGAAACTAGGTTCTTCATCTTCATTAGGTTCAGTTTTATGATTTTTTATATTGTCACTATTCTGTGCCGATTTATCGGCATCCTTCTTCTTAGCCATCTTACGGGCCTCGTGGACAATGGCGGAGAGAGTTTAACAACTGTGGTTGCCTGAATCATTTATACTCCAAACAAAAAATAATGTAGGTAATGCATTCGATATTTATTGTGATAAAACAAATAAAATAATAGGTTAAATGGTTCTCGTTATTTGATTTTAAGAACTTATCTCCACGAAATATGCAATTTACACGATACCCATAAACTAAGAGGTAATATACAAAAAAATTATTTCAAAACTATAACTTTACAGCAGATGCAGACAAATAAAAATCGGCACGGGAAAGCAGTTTTCTTTTTAAAAGATCTAAGACAGATAAGACTAAAATGAAATGAGTTTTTAACTGAAAACAATGTTTTATTAGTTTAATTGTTTCTTTAGTTCCTTCATAACTATCAGAGGTTTTAAAATAGATTAACTTGAATAAAAAATCAAATTTTATTTAAATATAAGAACTCCACAGTTCTTGTCTCGACTTTCAAACGATAGCCCTGAGGATGCCCTACATTTATGGGTGGAAATGTGCTAACCCAATAAAAATATCTTGACAGAATATCCTGACAATTTCATTTCATCCAAATAATTTTATAAAACTGACACCCGGCGAATAAGCTGATATTTTAGTCACTTGGTCCTAAAACTTGTTATATTTTTTTAAATAGAAAATTTTGGACAAGGGCAGATTTCATTCGACTGGTTCATTGACTGGTGAGAGAATCTGTAGCAAATATATTTAAAAGTAGTGTTTGTTTTATGATACTGTAAATCAAACCGCTGGTTGACAAAGATTTGTAACCACCAAACATTTTAATATTGTAAAAAAAATAATTTTGTTGTAACCATGTCTTATGACAGAGTACCTCATTCATCTGACGATTATTTCCTCAATCTTTCCTAAATTATATGTACAAAATGCATAATTAAAAAACCTCACAAAAAAAAACGATATAAATCTGAGAAGCTATAAATAAATAAATATATAGATTTTAACGTTAAAGATATCATTTAGTGCGCATGGAACCTTTTATTGGTATAACAAACGACTTAGAAGTTATTGCCCGTGATAGAAAGAACGTATAACAAGTCATAATGTTATACAAAAAATCAAGATATTTGACAAGGTTTGAGGGTAATCTCCCATCCTAAGCTTTCAGGCTATAGAAGCTCAAGAATACTAAACCTGTTACCGCGGTTCTCCAATCTGTTATTGAATCTTGGCCTGCTTCAGCATCTCCTATCAACCGTTTCAGTCTCTTCCACTTATCATCACTTAGGGCAGATTAGATAAGATCTAAAAGATAAAATTTAATCCACATTAAAATCTACGACTAGCACTCAGCCCATTCCATCCATTCCGGGGTGGCGTCCTCAGGTAATAAGATATGTCTAAGCCAGCATAAATGGGTATGTCGATTAGCACAACTCATATAACCTACTAATTCATTAAAATACAGTCCACTGCATAAATAAGTTGAATGTTGCCTATTTTGAACTAATGAGAGTTATTTGCCTTTGCTAAATTAAAATTTGGAAAGTTACCTTAACAGATAGTAAAACTTTTTTTTTTCATTTTATAGAGTAAAATAACCTTTAAATAATGCACACAGATAGTGAGTTATAAAATAATATTAGATGGTATAAATGATATCACTCTTTAGCCCAAAAATTAAATAACATTAGTAAAGAATAAATGCAAGCAATATATTTTCCATGTTGCCTCCCTTTAAATTAGTGTAACTAGTTACCACATGTTTTGAATATCATTAATAACAATAAATATAATTTTAATGTAATTAACTGATGACAATTGACTTTATTATAATTCTTCGCGAGAGTTCACGTTGAGTTTCCATATTAAGGCATTTAACTGTTGTTGCAATCTGCTGCTTTGCATTTTAATCTTTAATCCTGATTCTTGAGTGGGGATTTCGTCCGACAGTGTGTATCGTTTAAACTTTCGCTGTATTAGCACTTTTACTTTTCTATAGCAATGAACGATAATGGTTTGATTGAATTTATTGAAGCTTTAAAAGAAAATCGGTGTCTGTGGGATCCCAGTGACGCGTCATATACAAACAGACATACGCGAAAAGCAGCTCAAACAGCTCTACTAAATATATTTCAAAAATATGACCCTAATGCGAGCATTGCAAGTGTTAGAAGAAAAATAGATAATCTCAAATCCACTTATCAGCGAGAACGCAAAAAAGTAGATAATAGCGAAAATACTGGCTCAACCTCAAATTGTATGTATGTACCATCATTGTGGTATTACGACCATTTACACTTTTTGTCAGAAGCATACAAAGTCGTTAAAGCTGGAGCTGAATCTCCTGATTCTCTTGGACAACATTTTTTGGAAGATGATGAAGAGGAAAGACAAGAAGTTCGTCAGCAGTCCGAGGATGATGTAAGTACTTTATTTTCTATATAATAATATGCTTGTAATAATCGCACGCAGCATCTTTAATGATATTTAGAAGCAGTTCTACTACAAGAACTTTATTATGTGGACATTAGGATAAAGCTTACGATTACCATCTGATTCCCATATTTTTTAAGAGGACGAAGAGGAATAAACCAATTAACATCATGTCATACGAATCCTCTTCCTACTTATTTGATAATTATTAACTCAATTAGAAAAATCAATCAAACCAAATATCGGACTCTCGAAGCGTTACTGAAATGACTAAAAAATCTATTCTATAAAAAAATGAAGTTCAATAATATAAATTTTATATTATATTCATTGCTATCCATTTCGATGATTTCTTTTTTTCATTATGTAAGGAATTTAGTAATCTTTTATATAATCAATGGAAAAGTGTGTAATTTTTGAGTTATTTGTAAATAAAGTTTATTTTCTTTCATTATTTTTTGCCTGAATTTTCGGAGTGATTTAGACTATTTTGCCCATCTGAAGGAGAAGGAAGCCTTCAAAATTGGTGGCTCAATCTTGGTATTTGGTGAAGAATTAACGATGATGTGGCTTACAGACAAAAAACACCTTCTATAAATAATATAAACTCCTGTCTCGACCATAGGGGCCTCATGTCGACGAAATGAGACATGTATTCAATGACAGTACTACAAATAACGTAAGGTTGTTTGGATGCGAACCCTTTGCCTTATTTTTTCATAATTATGATAGGTTCTACTTTTATTCGTATTTCATTAAACAAAATCAATCATCTGGAAATAAAAAATCATTGTTTACTTATCTTTAGTTTTGCATTTAGGGTGTGATATATATTTTGTTGATAAAATTTGTACATACATACCTAATTAAAGTAGTAGACGAAAACAAATTAAATGGAAGTAGGTTTGTTTAAAATAAATAATGTTAAATTAGGAAATTAAATAATCTTATAAATTTTATTCCAGGCTAGTGACTTTCGACCACCACCACCCAAAGCTTTAAAACGAAAACAAATCAGTGCTCAGAAGCAGCAAACAGCTACTGAAAGAATAACTAATACATTGGAAACAGGAGGAATGGATAACTGGGATGCTTTCGGCTTGTCTGTGGGAGGAGATCTCCGCAATTTAGAGAACAAACAGCAAACTGTTGCTCAAAAACTAATATCTGATGTAATATTTTTGGCCAAAATGGGACGACTTTCAGAAGGTAGCACAGTAGCTGACATTCCTATTCATTTGGTGTCACCTTCACCTTCTGCATCAAGCATTATTTCTCCTAATCCTCTGTCAGGCAGTGCCAATGGGCCGCTCTCTCCTTACAACGATGTTCCTGCCACTCCGCAATCGAACGTTTCTAATCCTTCTAAATACTGTTTACATAGAGATAGTGGACTGGAAACGAAATATTACATCTCAAAACCACAAATTTTAGCTAATGATCCAAATGCCATTCCAACAGAACAGCAGCAACCAGAACACACACCGTTACCTCGAGGTCTACTGGCTACTAACGAATTGCGAGGATAAAGAAACAATTGACAACAATGGACTTAATAAACAAATAATAAAAAAAAAGTGTTTCATTCTACATGTAAAAATGGAATGATTAGTTTGTCGATTTTATTTATTTTACTTGCTCTAGGATGATAAGAAGAAGTAAGGTATAAGTACTTAATATGATAAGTTGGGCTGTATTCCTCAGCACCAGCTGCGACGGTCAAGTTTAAGGAGTGGCATTCCCCATCTTAACAACTATTGAGTTAATTATATTTAATTAATCGTGTGTTAAATACTTCAATAAAATCTTTCTTAAGCACTTATTGGTGGTAACTGAATCCAACTGATCCTTTCAGAATCTCGATGGAGACAGGAAAGACACACTTGCAACTATGATACTTTCATCGAAATTCAGGAGATATCGCGAACGAATTTTTTATTTCATTTAGCACTGTAATGAAAATCGACCATTTTGACGAGTCGTGATATGCTGGGATTTCCGTAAAAATTAAAATAACCAATCTATTATACTGGACAATACAAATTGTTTGTAAAACTCTAGGGTCATCAACGATACAAATTTTAATTTACTGCAAATACCAGACTTAATACTTTACATTAATTCGATGTACAATTAAAACAAACATTTTTTTTTTTGAGAATGAGTTCTTAGGCAACATTAGGATAATAGTGCGACTAAATCCCTTTCAAGTAAGTAATATAAAAAATCAGAGTTGCATCTTATATTATTAGTTACATGAATACCTTATCCAGACTAGGCACATTTAATTGTATATCTCAGGAAAACAGTATTTCCAATATAATAACAAAATTACCCACTCATTTTTTTAACTTGAAATTAACCGTTTTTACTTAGAATTGTACTCTAATGCTTTAATTATTAGACATTTTCGAATAATCTACGTTTTAAAGAATGATCAGATTATACAGCCATTTATTTTGAGTTAATAAATATTTTTTTTAAATGAATGAAGAGAATAATTATCAAACTTGCAATTAAAATAAGTTAAAAAAAAAGTGAATTGGATGGACGATTTCCTTCATTTGGTGTCCATTGCGTTTTGTCTGACGCACAATTTTCAGGATTGCTTCTCACTCAGCCGTAGGATTATTTCGTGAAGGACATAAATTTGCAGGAGATTATAATGGATTTTATAGTTGCAGACCCTTGTATCTACTAGTTCCAATTGGCTGACGTTTTCTATAGCTGTGCAATGATGATACCCGACGAATGGAGTCTGAGGTAGTTCATGTTTCTGAAAACTATGAATTCTCAACTCATCAAAGTGGTAGGATCTTGTTCCTGTCTCTAAGATACAAAAAATATTAAGGTTGTGGTATTTTACAGTTTCTTTTATTCGAAGTACTTAGCGTGATGAGAGCTAGAAATTAGCTGGTTGAGGGATTATTATAATTTGAGAAGGAGTTAGTCGAGGGTGCGGTCAAATAAATAAAAAATTAAAATAATTAATATATTTTAATTTTTTATTTATTTGACCGCACCCTCGACTAACTCCTTCTCATATTATATCAACGGTCAACCATCTCTACATGATTATTATAATTATTGTGGTCAGATAATTTGTATATGTATTTCAGCTCGTGATTACAAATAAATAATGCTATGGGACTCCAAATGTTTATATTCCGATAACTTGGTTAATGCTTGAATATTTTATCAGAAAATTTGTCTTGTATCCTCGCTGTTATACTCGTTCGTAGAAATCACAGATATTTTTGATCGATTGTTGCCTATCAGTCAGGGTTGATAGTGGCATTTAGTATCCATTATTATGGTGTTATCAAGGTATCAGAAATCGAATTGCGCATAATTCAACTGTTATTTGAGTTTACTTTTTGCAACAGCATTTAAGTTGTTCTATTTAAATCTAACAACTCGATGCTAAATTATTTTAGAATGTTAATTACTTTTCAATATAGTCTTTTTTAACAAGATTAAATAGTCATTTTTGACATAATAGCAATCTTTTCTATGAGCAAATGTTTTATTATTATCTGTTTTGTTCATTATTATCCATTTTCCTATCAGGTTTGTAAATTGCTTTTACTTATTGTCATACTTTGTAAACATAGTGTAGTTTGTTGTTTTTGATAATGTCATTTTATAACAACATCAATGTTTTATGTCCCTTAGAATAAAGTGTTTTTGTTTATCAGTTGGCTATGAATCTTAATTTGTTATGCAAATTATATATTTATTTCTAGTTCTAAATTAATACTATGTAAATATTTCAGTTATCAGTTTCTCTTTCAATATTTTCTTAGTTTCATTTTGTGATTTTGGTTCATGTACAAATTTAGTTAGTGTTAGCAGAATTAAAAAAACATAAACTCTTTCCCTACAAGTTCATATTTTGATAGATACAATTTATGATTGATTTACAATTTGATCAAATATTTTTACAACTCATTATTTTTAAAAATTATAATTATGAGTTATTGATCTTAATAATAAAAAATAATTGATACTTTTGACTTTGCAGGCCTATAATTAAGTGTTTGGTGTATTGTATTTTCTACTTTTTCACATTTTTATTTTACCCTTTTAAGTCATATTTTAAAGAGAGGGTTTTCAACTAAACTTAACAACTTATAATTTAGACTTAAGCGACTCATTTATTTGTAGTATTCTATTTCCTGTATTTTCTGGATGTTATACATTTTTGTTTGAGTAAGTTAGTTGAGTAATATGGATACATATGTCATTAAGGTTTAAATATTTGTTCGGCTATTTCTTAGCGGATAATTCTTAACCATATGAAGATTCAGACTTGCAAACATGTATTTTTTTTTAAATATTTGTGCAAACTGCTTGTTGCCTATTCATATAAATATAGCCTTCATATGATGATGAAATTAATTAAAAAATTAATCTCTAATCTGGATGAACTATTAACTTATTTTTCATCTGTGGAAAAATCTTTTTCTTATCTTAGTGGTTAAGCGTAAATAGATATTTTGATAAGTTTAACTTTAGTTTTCAAGGTTAATATATATTTTTTTAATATGTAATAGGAAAGGTTTGCTGTGATATTTTTTTTCCTCTGAACTTTAATTTTTCAACCAATCTTTCAGTGGCGGTATATTTTTATGCAAATATTCTGTATGCAGGATACTTGCATAACTCAAATAAATCTTCCTTTTTATTTTTTATTTTTGCTTGTTTTTTTTTAACTTCAGTGGTAAGCATGATTTTTCAATTCAGGACCTCAAACTGTAATTAAATATATTTAGCATAATTCATTATTGGATAAGTATATTGTAGACCTGTTATGTTAAAATAATATGCATTGAGACTTTTTAGAGACCTCCCTAAAGACCACATCATCTTAATAAAATCTGCAGCGCTAGGGGTTATGATAGCGTAATTAGAAATTTGGAAAATATAATGTTGTTGTATAAAGAGATAAAGATAAGAGATGAGAAGAAAATAAGTAAATAAATTAATCATGAATGAAAGATTCTGCATGTTTTGGCCATTCTTAGGGTAATGGTATTGCTGTGTGGCACGGTATTACTTCGGTTTATTTGTGCTGCTTTCCTTTCCCTATTTGATTATTCCTAAATTTTTTTTTTCCTTATCATCTTTTCATCATTGTTTAATGTCATGAAAAGTAATTGTTTAGTAGATCGGTAATACCTTTGAAATTTAATTATTTGTACCCGAATTCTCATTTTTTTGCTTTGTTTCTCATATTCGCTCAATATTTTCTGTTTACTTTCTACAGCCATACATTGCTTTTTAACATCTTTGTTTTGAACCATTTTTTAAAAAAATTACTGTAGTGACACTTTTGCTCAACAATGGTTTAATGTTTCCTAAGGATGGTTTTAATTATTCGAAAAAGATATTTATTCATCTTTATTTCTAAAAAAAAAATAAGGAAAAGATTGTAGTGAACAAAAGCTGCGCAAAAATAATTAAATGCAATGGCAATGAAGATTAAAATATTTATTAATAGCTTTAAAGATCGTAATATTTATTATGGTTACTAACCTCCCCCCCCCATTAATATAAATTAACTCTATTAGGTAATAAACAATGAAGTGTTTTTCATTCTCTTTTCTTGTAGAAATTCTTAAGATACAGGATTAAAATGGCAAAAATGATAATGAAGCTTTATTTAAGTGAGTTTCACATTTGCATACTTCCCCTCTCATCTCTCAATTTTATTTAAAAAATATTTTCTCCTAATAATTTCACTCTTGATATTATACATTATAAAAATGGATACAAATTTGTCATGATATCAATTTTTTTTCCTAAGCATTTTATTTCAAGATATTGTCACACACAGTATACCACACTATATACAGATTATTCCCCTTTGTGATTTTAAATGATTTTTTTGTCTACAATTTGCTTCAATGACACAAAGTACATTTGTTATACTGTGGAAGAATGTTTTGTTTTTAAAATATTAAAGAAAAAATAAAAAGAACCTTCTAAAAAATAATTTTTATTTTCCATTTATTATTTATGTTTGATGTGTTAATCAATTATTTCTATGCTGATGTATATTGTACTGTATTTAAAAAATTAAATAATCTAATAAAAAAAATTAAATGAAAAAACCTAAATAAATTGTGTCAAACTTCAAGAAGTGAAACGTTTCATTAAAAATTCCAACAGCACTATTTTGAAAAAAATGAAAAAAAAATTTAGGGTGTCAATATGGTTTTGGTAAAACTATTTTATTACTTTGGGTTGCCAGGCTGAACACCTGTAGAAATTTAGATGTATCTGTTCAAATTTGTATGCAATTTTGCGAGGATTTCCCAAAAAACAGTGATTATGTGCAGTTTTATAAATGTTGGAATGGGCTCAAAGATGTCTGTCGGTAATTCATGAAGTCCATCGCATAAGGTAAATTTTTCCTGAACAGCCAACCAGATTTATTTTTAAAAAAGTTTTTAAATTTAATAAACAGTTCATCGTACCTAACTTATCCTTAAATAAATAAAGGTTTATCTGCATTGGACTATGGAATAGTTTTAGAGATAAATCATAATACTTTTATCCATGACTTAAACACAGTTATAAATTCTTATATAATACATTGAAATGTTCTCTTATATTTGGAATCTCATTTACCTTTAAAAATCATTATGTTATATACTACCTAAATTCCAATTTTAAATTATTTATTAGTATTATGAATAATTTGTTACAGTATAATAAACAATTTATGTTTAGATAAAAGAAATTATTTGAGTCTTAACAATTAATTACAATCTTTTTTTAATAGAAAGAATTGTCTCTATTCTCATCAACTTTATTAATGATTCCAATATTGATGAAATTGCAGCATAAATATGAAATAATAATTAGGTGCATCAATGAAAATTCAACTTTCATGAAAAACCTTTAATCTATGTCCTACGTAATAAATATTTTTATTATTTTTGTACCTAATAAGAAAATTATTACTATAATAATGAAAATTATAATTGTTAATAATAAATTTTAAAAAGTAATAAAAAATATTCAGAAAGGAGATTGTGGCAATCATAAAAAAAACTTAATTAGTTAAAAACTATTTTATTACTAATTTTGGCTTAAAATAAAATAGTGTTCACTATTTTAAGTTTTATTATGACCACTACTCTGAACCCTCTACTTCTTAATATTATAAAATTGTCAACCATTCAGTAGTCAAAAACATTTATATTTTATGAGGAGTTGAGGGGGAGGGGGTTGCAGTCAAATAAATATTAAATTAAACAAATAGTATTATTTAATTTTTGTTGATGTTTCGACCCACTTTGCAGGTCTTCATCAGGGCTTAGGATGGAGCACTGCGGGAGGCAGTTGAAACACTGAAACACAACATTTATATTTTAATTTTTAATTGAATTTAAAAATTTTTATTTAAATTTTTAAAAAAAATTATGTTCAATAATAATTAATAATTATAGAATATATATAAATACATTTATTATTCTCAATTTCACACAGGATCTCTTCTTCCTACCATAATCTTAAGGAATTTCTGCATATTTCGGTCGAAATATGTGTCTTTGGACTTGGCCGACACTTAAGAAGTAGGTATCTCGCAAAGAAGACCAAGCTGATTCTATACAAGACCCTTGTAAGGCTTGTTTTGACATATGGCTCAGAGGCTTGGACGATGATGAAAAGTGATGAGATGAAGTTGAGTGTGTTTGAGCTTAGTTAATATTTGAGGAGTCCTCAGAAGGATTTATGGTCCAGTAAAGAAGGGTGATGTCTGGAGGAAAAGAAAAAATAGGGAGCTCAGTTCTCTTTATACAGACATCGATGTAGTCATGTATATTAAACTTGCCAGACTAAGATGGGCAGGGCATGTGGCCAGAATGAGCTCCGTTGAAATACCCAAGAAAATAATGATAGAGGAGCTGCACCTCGCAAGACGGGTAGGAAGGCCGAGGACGAGATGGTTGGACAACATGGCCTATGACATAGGCCACCCCTGCTTGGTGTACCCCCCCCAACCCTGCTTGGTGTACGGAACTGGAGAGCTGCAGCAGAAGACAGAGCCAACTGGCGGTGGCTCTTGGAGGAGGCCCAGTCTCGGTAACGGGATGTCGCGCCACATATGATGATGATGATGGGTCGAAATGTAGTCTAAATAAAATAGTTTCCACTGTTTTAATTTTTTTATGATTGCTACCTTGGACCATCTCCTTCCTTTTTATTATTTTCTTGTTTATATGTATATTTAATTTATGACTGCATTCAACCATTTTACTCAAGATCACTGTTATACATAAAATATGGATATATATATACATCTTTGACTATGTATCTTTATTTATCTAATGATTTTTAAATTAGTATGAAATTTCCCTTACATTAATACACCAGTTGTATTATGATGTGTTATTATTTATATATTGGCATATTTTTATTTTTATAAATAAATCAAGATTAAACAAATAGAACCTGTAGGTGTTGATGAACTCAGGGTTTTACGCCCTAAATGGCAAATAGTTCTCCCTCTCTCACATATAATTAAAATTATTATATATATTTTTAATTATAATCTTATTTTCAGTAAATGGATATGAAGTCACACTTGAACAGAATGGACCAATTATCATCGGTGGTACTATTAATTTTTGGGCCAAAATAAATGGAAGCAATTCTTCTCAATACAAGTATACATGGACAGATATCAAACGTTCTCTAAAGGAATCAGTATGTGAATTAATATTTATTTCTTCACATTTCTCAATTTTTTTTTTGTAATCTTAAAAATTCAAAATATATGTACTTTGGCATAACTTAGGCAGCCTCCAGACAGGGCATTTTTTATAATTATATTATTATTAGCATGCCCATGCTACATGTGAAAGATATGTTTGACTCTAGTTAACCGTCCAATTAAACAATTATCGTCTCCCCATTTCATGTCTGCAGATAGGTTGACAAGTAAGCATCAGTATGTCCTTAACTTGTTGATTTCTTTAATAATTTCCAGTTTTTTTATTGAGTATTGATGATGAGAATATATTATAGTCGGCTCTAGATAATTTGAACTTCGATAATTCAAATTTTTCAATTATTCTAACTCTTCGGTTGTTGACTCCTGTAAATTGAAAAAATGCTGTATTTCGATACACTCGATAACTTGAAATCCTTTTCATAACAAGAGGTGTAGATAACGTTCTATAATTCGAATAAGACCTCGTTTTATAAGAGCTCAAGGAAAAAATGGTAATAAATTGTTCACTTGTCTACTTCGCCCAGGAATGCCCATTCCTCCAAGGTTGATGGTGCATGTGTCTTTCCCCTCTTTCCACCCAAGATATTTTATTGCTCTCCTCTTCTTAAAAACAGTAAAACAAATACAATTAAAAAAATTATAGATCATATATAATTACACTTGCTGTGGTCTGTTTTATGTTTTCCCCTCTCCCGTAGTTTAAAACTTTTCATTCTGAAAATTCATAACTTTGTTGAAATGTGCTACCTTTAAATATTAAAAAATCTGTCATGACCTCCTTCTGGGCATCCCTTAAGTAACATTTCTCACTCTTGTTGATTAATTTTTGATGAATCTTAATGATTTTCTTCAAGGACCACTTAAACCTCATTTTATGTTGTTTATTTATTTTTTGTCCTGAGTAATTACAGTAATAATAATAAAAAGAAAGAAAAAAAATCTGTTCCACCTAAAAAATAAAAAAAAAAATAAAAAAAAAAAAATAAATTTTAGATCTGCCACGTCCTAGGCTATGATGACCAATGATACAAATATTGTATCCTTGATTATTCAATACCAATTCATCTGCAGTCATCTTCGGTATTATTGTTATATTCTGTTAAATAATATTGCAAATAAAGTTTGATATTGATAATAATTAGCTAAAATGTCATTATATAAAGTTGTTTTGTTATATAAATTAAGACTTAAATTGTATATTGATAGCATTCTTAAAAAAATGATGCTCTTAAGAAAATAAAGGTAAAAATTAAATAATCGTTTTATTTATTATTTCTACAATTTGATCATAATAATTTTAGTTTGTATCTAACCAACCAACAAATGATTGGAACTTGACATATACTAAAGGAAAGGATTCCGTTGGAACATATTTTGTCGAATTAGAAGTATGTGAACATACTTTATTCATTTACTGGCCTTGTACCAAACATCAGACAATATTTAATGTAACAGGTATTTATTTATTTTTCTTTATCAACAACATAATGCAATTATACTGTATGTTGCTTTGAATTTATCTTTTATGATTTTTTTTTTTGTCCAATTAACGATGTAGATGACATAAATGGAAAAATTGAATTTCTTCAGAACAATACTGTACAAAGTAGTGATTATGTGTCGAACTACACTGAAGTCGTTCACAATATTTCAATAAAAAGCACTGATATAGAATTTTTAGAAGACAATAACTTCACAACTGTCGCATTTTGGTTCCTAAATTGCAGTTATTATGGAATGTCCTCTGATCTGGTCTTCAGGTATTAATTATTATTACTTATTTACTTATCAATTTAAAGCAATCATTTTTTTCTTTGAAGGTTGCACAAATAAGATTTTGCTATATAATATATTTAGTAATTAACATTTCAGAGGTATATCTTCATTATCAAAGCTAGCTATGTATATATATATATATATATATTGTAACTTTTCTCTTATATTTTACAAATAATAATAATAGAACCTCTGAAGATCCCTTTAATACTATTAGGATAATTCCTAAATAAATAAGAGTTTATTAAATAATAATAAAAAAAATTATAAGAGTATTAATATATTTATTTATCTCAGGTATGGGTTACTGACAATCAGATCAAAAGACTCAGACAGACTAATATTAACTACACTAAACATTGTTTGATTTTAAATTAAAGTCAAGTATGGATTGGCAAGCTCACCTTTTTTTCTGTATACAATGTTTCTTCCTTTGTTGCACTGAATTCATTTGTCTTCAAACACTTTCCAAAGTTCTACCAAACAACTCTTCAAATTGATAACACTATTACTGGATTTTACCCACTGGAGTCCCTTCTCCTATCCTCTCTTCATTGCAGCCACAGAACAACTGCTCGCCAAAACAAAAACTTTGTTTGTCCCTCTCTTCTTTGGGATTTTCCTTTTTGGAGGAACTACAGAGGAGTCATTCTCTTTTCCCTCAACTAATGAAACTAGATTAGCTTGCTTTTTAACTGTTACATTAATTTATTAAATAATTTTTACCCACTTCCAATAAAGGTGTATATTACAATAAATATATACACACACACATATATAAGTATGCACATATATAAAATATACAAAATACAAATATACATACATATATAAAAGAGAACATTATCAGTTAATATACTAAATACTTATATAACTCATTTATTTACATATTAAAATTTAATAATCCATTTAATTTTAAAGTACCTGCATTCATAGTTTCATAACAGTACAATAACATAATATTGCTCGTCTTTCTTCTATTGTCAAAATACTAAAATTTATAAAATTATGCCTGAAAACATTTATTTGTACTTAGCTCAAAACTTGTTTTAACTTTGTTATTAAGAGGTTTAATTGTTGCATTTCAGTCTTTGTTTATATATCTATTTAAGTTCATTAATACAATTAATTCTGAAATAATATTTTTGTTTTATTCATTATTAGAAGTATTTATTTTATTTATAACATCAAAATGGTGTGTTTCTAAAATTTTAATATCACTTTTATAGACAGTTTCATTGTTATTCTTGGTAATGTAGACAACTTTTGATAATTCTATATATCTAGTTTTATTCATATTGCCGAATATTTTGGTTTTTTCAAAATAAAATTTATGCCGTAATTTAAAACTTTAAAATGACAATGCTGTTATATTTATGTTTTTTTTTTTTTTTGTATTTTTACAATTTGCTATATGTCACTATATTCACATTCAGTATAATTCACAATTTATTTTATAAATTATATTTTGTATCTAAAAAAATAATTTGTATCTTTTTATTATATATGCTATAAATTATATTTTAAAGTAACTTTTTATTCTTTTGATCTCAAAAACTAAGATTTATAATTGTAATTAAGAATTGTTTTTGTTAGAATATTTTTTTTAATAATTGGTATTTATCTCTCATTTCTCAGGTACAATTACACTACCGCTGATGAAGATACAACAGTTAAAGCCGTCATTGTTGCTGCTAAATTGAACGAAACATCAAATCTGACCGATGCTTTCTCCGATAAACCCGGTGTGGAGGGATCTTGGAACAGTAGCAATATATCGACGACTGTTTTGTCTCCTTGGCCTGATGGTTCTTGTCAAGACTCATTTATTCCCAAGGACCCCGATAAATACTATGGATATTTTCATCGTGTAGTTAAACCTAGGCGTGAGTATTAGTATACTGTATACATATGAGGGGTTCAGTTCCAAAATCAGCCAAATTAAAAATAAAACTTATTGATATTTTGTTAAGTTTTTTTCTTTACAATTTCATGTGATGGAAGAGTTTAAAAAAAACAAAAAAGCTTTATCCCTTATTAAAAAAAAAGAAATTTGTCCAAATAAAGATTCTATTTCATTGGTACTGCCCACTGGAGCGACTGTTAGCAGTTGAGCGCTGCTTTAGTGAAATAGAAATTGTTTAATTTATTAAGCCAATCCCTTCCACGGCTGTCAGAAATATTGACGTAACAATCATGCTGTAGGGAACTGATTCTAATTTGACTGCTGTGGACTGTATGTAAGAGTATTTCATTATAATTAAACTAAAGTGGTTGAACAGCTTTCTATATTTTATTTGTATTATAATTTGAGTTATAAAAGCCAGATCTATTACAATAAAGGGCTAGCACAGTAATAAATTTGATCTATACATTTCAAACTACTTTAACTGAATTGGATTAGGTAGGTGGTGTCTGAAAATGAATTAATTACTAACCCTTTGTTGTAATAGATCCGGCTTTTATAACTCAAATTATAATACAAATAAAATATAGCAATCTGTTCAACCCTATCATAATATAGGGGGTCATTTTTAGTTAGTATTTTTATTTTAATTTAATTATACTACGAGATGTCCCAACGACACTACAAATCCAACGATAATACAAATATGTAACAAGCACAATATTGTAACTTAAAAAAAATGTTTAGCCTTGCATCCACAAGAGTATTGGATTTGCAGTTCTGAAGATGGGAATAAAAGGTCCCGAACTAGTAACGTAAACGTAAACTAGACTGTTAACATGTAACGTTAAAAATATACTCGAATTGTTAATAATTGGAAGTTATTATTGCCAAGCAACTAAATTAAATTGACAACTTCCCAGGAAAAAAAGAAAAAAAGTTGGTATTTTTATTTTAATTTAATTATACTACGAGATGTCCCAACGACAATGTTTTCACCCACTTCAGCCACTCTCCGCCTCATGTCGAGTTACATGATACGAGAGAAGCAAAAAGAAAACATTATGAGATAGTATGGCTGCTGGTAGCACTGCATAGAGAACTACCTCCACGAGGTTCTTCGTTCCGTCACCATTACCCTATAAAATTCCATGCTTTCATCGCCCCAGGTTGTGACAGCGACTTCCCATTTCTGGGACATTGCTCTCTTCCAAGAGGACGTACGTCAGGCGACTACAGAGGCGTTAAAATAGAAAAATATTACTGGCTTGCTGGAGGTGATATGTTTTATTTTCATTAAGAACATTTAAAGGTGAGTGACACCGCATTAAAAAACATTAATGAAATATAAATATTATTTATAGAGTACTTGAAAGCATTCAGTGCTCGAACCACGCCCTGAAGATGACCCATATGTTTGGGTTGAAACGTTGGCACAAATAAAAAATTAAAATTTTTTTTAAAAGACTGCGTCCTGAATATTTATCCATGATATGTAGAACAACCGACTAGCTTCCTTCTATAAATATTATTTTATTAATTTATGCACCTCGCATTGAGGTTGGACGATCCACTTGTACAGTACTTTATGCTAATTTCTACTAGTGCCTTCATAGTAAAGTGGCTAACGCACAGTTCTCACATATTGTAATATGCTGGTTCAAGACTGGCTCCACGATATATCTTTTTTTAAAATTTTTATTATATAAAAAATGTAATTTAAACTGTTTTAATATTATTTTGTTTCCATCATTATTTTATTATTATTATTTTGGGTTAAGAGAAATATTTTTTAATTCATTTGTATTCATTTTGTAGCATGTTTAATTCATTTATTATGTTTTTTCAATATAGGATTACTGCTGTTCGCCATTTTATTTATACACCTATTTATCCACATGAATTTTTATTAGTTTAACATTTTTTAAATAAATTTATTAATAAGGCTCCAGTGCCTATGGAAATAAGGTTGTGCAGAATTGGCTATTTACGTTTTGAACGCCCACTGCCGCCACAAGCGGTTTAATGAATAGATGCTAACAGAAAACAAAAATAAAATTTTTCATGTGACGATAATTTCAAATTTTGTTTTTTAGCAGCCCTGTAAAATTTACAAAAATAGAATTTTGGAACTGAACACATAATATATATTTATCATTCAAATCACATGCAATTGTCTATATATATATATATATTTTTTTTTTTATCCCTCTCTAGGTCCTATTCAAGGTGTTAGAAGTGAAAGGGAATAACTGGCTGAAGAATGGTGACCTCCTTGATCTAACGTTAACATTCGCTGGTTCTCCTCCTTATTTACATTGTATAAAATTTATAACTGGTGAATATAATGCAACGGGAAACGAAACCTGTATTCACCCGACTGAAACACCTCCCCAGATTAATGTCATCCATTATTTTGGAACTGGAGAAAAACATACTGTTCTCTTCATTATAGCAAACAATGTTTCTAGAAAAGTCACCGCAGTCGTTGTAACTAATTATATTGGTAAGTTATACAAATATTTTAATAATTTTGACTAAATATTTTATGGTTTATGAGGCCCCTGGAACCAAAGAGATATAGGTGAAGAAAAAAAAAAATTTTTGAATAAAGATTTTTATTCTCAAAGGTTCTTTAAGTGAAAACTTCTTTTGCACTTTTTTGCGGAGAAAGAATTGGATTGAGCCGTTAGATTTCCGATCTGTAACGCTCAGGTAAAGTCGGCTGTAGTCTAATAATTGAAGTGTTTTTGTATCCGGATTAAAATCAGAATCTAAAAATACTGACCTGCATACTGTAAGCGAGGTAATTGTTCAGTATTTCATCCTCTCTGTAATGTGCTATTATTCAAAATTGTATCTTAATGCAACGCCGTGTTAGGGAGGAAAAAATTGTGTCAAAAACCAAATTATAGCGAGTTTTTTTTGAAGACATGGATTAAAATATCTCAGAAAATAAAAGTTGGACCTGCATACTGTAAGCGAGGGAAATGTTCATCATTTCATCCTCTTTATAAATAGCTATTATTTGTTGATGTTTTCACTTCTATCGTGTCGTTAAAAGCACATACCTTAGTTGTTTTTTTTTTTTAAATATAGGTCTTTCACTATTTCTAAAGCCCCTCTGATAGTTGAAACCAGGGCTTGAAACGGAAAGAAAACTTTAATTTTTAAAAGGTTTCGGTATCTCCAGAATTTTTATTGTCGTTAATTTTTTTTCAAAATGGTCTGTTCGTGTGTGTGTGTGTGTGTGTGTGTGTGAGAGAGACGTGCGCGTGTGCGTGCGCGTGTGCGTGTGTGTGTGTGTGTGTGTGGGCGCGCAGTTCGATCCATTACAATCTATAATCAATGAATTGTGCAATCCATAATCAACCGTTGATATAATAAATAGGATTTTTGTTATTTTAATGGTATTAATGATTTGTTAACTGTAACCTTTAAGCTTTAGCTCGCTTAATGCACTTCAAAAATTTTATAATAGCCCAACATTGAAAGTTGTATGTTGAGCGCAACAGATTTTTAGAAACATAATTAATTGTAGAATATTTATATAATATACAAAGTAATAAGTGGAAATTGTTTTAATCTATTTCTAGACCTTAAATAATAACACATTCATATATCTTTTATGAATTAGCTTTTATTTTGTTGTTTTGTTTCTATTTCAGCTAAAAGACACGCTCAGTTATCTGTTATTATTGTTCCTATCAGTTTCACAGCCCTTGCGGTTATCCTTATCGTGTTTGGAGTAGCATACTACATCCAAAGTAAAAAGAGGTATGAAGTGCTTTATTTATTATGAATTGAGTACTAACATTGGAAAAAAAATTGTGTTAAATTGATTTGGAATAGAATTGAAGTTGCGTAGCTTTGCCTCTCTCTTTTCTTTGATGCTAACTATCTTTGTTAATAAGCATCAGAAAAATTCAGGACTTTTTGCATTTTTATCGTTATGACTTAATCCTCACCTTAGTAAGATCAGAAAATTCATGATAGTGTCCAATTATGAATTATAAACTACATTAATTTACGTATAGGAATAATCATTTATTAAATATGTATGTGCGAGGGAGAACCCAAAAGAAACAGGAAACCATTGTTTGACCCGGTGTCTGAGTTAGTGTGCAAAGTTATGTCGCTATGAGAATTTTTTTAGTGAAACAACTTTTTCTATTTCACCGAAAACGTGATGGCCGATTGTCAAGAGTAACGCGCGGCTGTGAATTTTTGTTTCCTGTTAGAGAAATCGGTCATGGAAACTATTGTAATGCTTAAAACTTCTTATGGGGATGCTGCCCTAAGTAAAACCAGAGTCCTATCGAGTGGTTTTCATGTTTTAAAAATGGAGAAATGTCTATTGAAGAGCAACCCCATGCCAGACGCCCCTCAGAGTCAATAAGTGATGAAAACATAGACAAAATCATTGCTCTCATTCGTGAAGACCGTTGCCGAACCATTGATCAACTCTGTGAGATGTCTGAAATATCATTGAGTTTAATCCAGAGGATTTTATCTGAAGATTTGCACATGAGAAGAGTTGCCAAATTTGGCCCCCCCCCTTTTCATAGGCTAGCAAAGAGAGCATCGACTTAAGGCATGTTTTTAAGAAATATAGAAGTTATGACGAAATTCCCATTTTTTTTTTTTTTTGACCCCTCTCATATTTATATTATTTAAGTGCTACCAGTGGATAGTTTCTCTACTAGCCTGTTCATGTCATTATTTTTTTTTATACTTGTTTCTTCTTTCATGTTTATTTGTAATTTTGTTCTAGTACAGTTGTAAATTTCAATTTAAAAAATAATAATTACAATAAAAAGCTTTTTAATGTTAAGACTTGTGATCTTCATGTTTTGTTACAATTTAACTTAATTTATAAACCGTAAATATTACCATATATTTAATCTATTTTTAAAATTAAATTTTTAGGTACACAATAGAAGTTGCAAACTTTGATTTCTCTGCCAGTAACGATACAGAATACAAGAGTTTCAAAGATAGATTACGGGAAGCAATGAGTTCCGCCTTCACACGGGTTACCGAAGAGGAATCAGAAGAAGGTCCATATTGGTCTCCGTCCCGCAAGTATGGATCAATGCAATAAAATTATTTGCAGCACTTGTTATAGGAACACTAAATTATGCTCAAAATCAGATATTCCTATTTATATAAAGATTGATACTGTTATATTTTACTATCCCTGTTTCATGTCATGATGGTTCCTTTAGTTTTTAATGTTGTTTAAATGCATTTTATTAATTGTACTTTATGAACCATTTTCTTCCGTATTCAGTATGAACAGCAAATAATTATTTGCCCCATTTTAGAAGTGTCAATACTTGAATTTATTTATTTAGTTTTACATAAGTTAATATAATTTGCATATGTGGTATGTATATTAATAAAAATAACACATCTTATTCAAATAGTAAATTCCTTCAGTTTGTAAATTCATCTTATATAGTCGGACCTCAATGACTTGAATTTTTATTCGAGTTACCTATACTTCAAGTTATGAAAGAGATTTCCAAGGTCAAAAATTATATGACTTCGACTTATTGAGGTTGAAAACAACTATCTATGCAGATGAGAATGAATGAATAAACAAATAAAAAATGTTTTGGGTCATTCTCCCATTACTCACGAATTTCGAGAAAACCATCTCCATAAAAGAAATAAACTGTAAATATAATTTTTTAGTTTTTTCAAGATAGGATATTAATGATATGATTAAAAATCCCTTCAAAGAGATTAGTTTCAATAGATACTTCTAATCATAATTGAATTGAAACCATGAAGGTGAGGGAAATAGAATGGGATTCAGGAAAATAAATAGAAAGGGCAGGAAATGAGTACTTTGCACTATCTCTTCTCAGTAAATTTTAGGTCATAGAGTTTATGAAGTAACTAAAATTCAATTCAACTTATTGAATTTTTCTTGCTTTTTCTCTCCTCTCTTCTCCTTTTGGGTTTAATCCAAACAATGGATGGGATATATACATGTTAAATAAAATTAATTTAATTTATGATTTAATAAATTAAAGGTTATTTTAGATTTTAAAATATTGCTTGTGAGTACAGGCGGATCTTAGGGGGGGGGGGAGGCTTCAGCCCGAAAGCCTCCCCCAAAATGGTAAAATATAACCATGTTTTATGAAAAAATTATCTCTAAAAGTATTATTGTTCATCTAATTACATTTAATAGGACTTAAAGAATCACTTAAACACTATTTCATATAAGTACTTAGTTTCTATCTTTCTTCCGAAGTAATTATCATAATATATATACATTTAAAAAAAAAAAAACTTTCGGGCTGAAGCCTACCAAAATTAAATCCTGGATCTGTTAGTGCTTGTGAGATATTTGCTCAGCCTACTACACAAACTAGGATCTCAGTTGTTTAAGTTCTAGAAATCAGTTATTGTCCATGATATTGTTAACTTGTACTGTTGCTACATGATTTTGATCAGTTGTGTTTTTTAAAATTTTATTGTTGCAATTTATTTTGTATACTTAACTCAAATTCTCTCATTAAATAGCAATATCATTAGTATTTAATATTGTCAATATTGTAGTTCATATACTAATAATAATAATAATAAGGCTTAGCGAACCCGAAGGTTCGATGCCGATACCACCAATCGATGTCCACATTCTTCCATCCACCAGGCTCTATCTAAACCCAACCCCGCCAAATCAACGCAATCTACCTATCTTCACTTTGCTCTACCCCTCGGACGCTTGCCAGTCAATACAGCGCATATTAATTTTTTAGGAATTCTTTCGTTACTGAACCCAGCTATTTTACATGCCCATTTTATTCGCTTCAACTTAATCACCTCAATTATATTAACTGGATACCGTTCACGCAATTCAGCATTGTGTAACCCAAATTCTTCAGTTGACTGGTCCTTTTTCAGTCCGAATATTTGGTGCAATAGTTTATTTTAATAATTTTTAAGTTTCGAGATAGGAAGCGAGAACTAAGTAATTTTGACAAAGAAAAATAATAAGAATTTCCCGCCTTCAGCCTAACCTTAATATCCTCTTCAATTTCGTTTTTTTCTAGTTATCGTAAACCCTAGATATCTAAAATTCTGTATGTGTTCAAACACATTGCCTTCTATGTCGATATCATCGAAATTGTCGCTGTTTTTGCAGCTAACCATATATTTTCTCTTATCCTTGTTGTATTTAGTTTTATTGTTTCCATGTCTTTGCTTAACAGTACCAAATCATAAGCATACCCAAGCACTGATATTATTCCACCCAGGTTCAAAACTTTTTCAGTATGTATCACCTCTCCAATGCCAAATTAAATAGCACAGGTGAAAGAGAATCACCTTGTTTTAACCCTGAACGAACTTCAAAATTCTCGGATAAATAATGTAGTTCATATAACCACATTTATTTAAACTTAAATGATAATTAAAACTTTCATAATGAATATATAATGTATCACAATAAATATTTGCAAAATATAAATATATAAATATTTTTTTCCTTTGTTTATTATTTAATTCTACAAGCAGAGATCTATCGCAGAATTATGCCCATAAATAAATGCTGTTTCGAGTTACTGAAGCATTTCAAAAGCAAGGATATTTTTCTAAACACGAAGCTATAATTATACAAGACTCTGATAAGAGCAGTCCTAACTCATGCCTCTGAATGCTGACCATTACCTAGTTCTGTCCAGTCTTAGTTAAGGTTCGAGAGGAGAATATTGGCCCAGTTTGCACCAATGGAACCTGGAGGATAAGGACAAATGCTGAGCTAACAAGACTCTACAAGAGCCCAGGCATCGTAAGGGTAATAAAAGTAGGACCCCTTTGATGGGCAGTACCCATAATTAGAATGACGTCAGATTAAATTCCTAGGATGGTCCTAGACGAAAGGATTTAAGAGACAAGAAGAATGGAAAAACCTCGGCTGCGGATGCAAGGCCCATCTAATAGTTGGCAAATTAATAATAATGCTTTATTTATTATGGGACAAGTCCCTATAGAAAAATGTATAGAGATGGAGATGTGGGCTTTGGAGCCTTCTGAGAGGCTCCATAATAAACAGATTGATGTTATGAATAAATAATAAAAAAGAGTATTAATTACCTTCAAACTTCAATTAAGAAAAAAATATTTGAAACAAACTAATTATTTAGATAGATAGAAAGTAAACTTTATTCTGGGTTCCCTTATGTATAACAGTTATGAACAAAAAAATAAAAACTACATCTGGTCAAAAATTACATCAGTCAATATTAAAGAATATATACATTATCTTCAGTAAAATTATATTAAAACAAGTAAAAATAATACCATTTTGAAAAAAAACAAAAAACATTATTTAAATGAAAAGAAAACAAAATAATATAAGCATGAGTTGATTTTTAAAATTAAAACTCAATCAATTTTAACAACCATTCACCTCAGTCAAAATCTGTTTCGCAATATTTATTTTATTGCATAACATCATTTTGGGATGTGAGAAGGAATTGGTAAAGATGATATTTAAATGAGGACAAGGAAGAGGCATGGCGGATATCAGATGGGAAGGAATTCCAGAAGGCAGTGGGCAATAAAGGAATATTCAAACGTCTTAGTTCTATGGAAAGGGATATAAAAGTCGGAAACACGGGATCTTGTTTTCTGGGAGTGGACCGTCGGTTTAAACTGTAGGAGAATGTAGATGTAGGAAGGGTGTCGGGTGTTGATCGTTTGGAATAGGAGTGATCCAAGGAAATATTGTCTGCGGAAAGAAGGGAAGAGCCACTTTAACTTGTCGTAAAAGTAGGACACATGAGACCGCCTCGATGTACCTAAGACAAATCTTAAGCAGGTATTCATGAGTCACTTCATTTACATACATTTTTACAAAAACATCTATTTACAATTTTATGAGGATTGAATGGATAAGGGATGATTGAATAGGCAGGATTTAAAGGTGGAGAGGGTATTGGAGTGACAGATGTAGGATGGGATAGAATTCTATAGAGATGAGGATCGAATAATGAAAGATCTGTCGAAAGCAGATGGGCTCTTGTATGCAAATCTGAAGACTGGGAACGGGTTTTGCGGGAGTGGACTAAGAATTTGAATTGAAGGAGCTCGGAGATGTATGAAGGACAGCGAGATTGGATGACTTGGCAGAGGAAGGATGCTAGGATACTTACATCAGTAGAAAGGATAAAGCCACATCAGCTCTTCATAAAGCGGGAAACAGGCGTTCCTTGGGATCCCGAAGATGAATAGTACAAAGCAATTTATCAAACGTTTTCATCAATTAGATCAATTGGCCTGCTCAAAATTATAAAAAGAAAGAATTTTAATAACGACGATCTCTGCAGAAAGATAACTCTCGGTCTGCGGTGACTGAAGTATATGACGTCATGAAGTCTATATTATAAGTTATGCTTAGTTACAAAATATAGAAGATTATTAAAAAATGACTAATGAACTGATTTATGGCAAAATTTGGATATCATCATTTTAAAATCAAATCTATTATTCAAAAGTTGTTTCTCTAAAATTTGTGACATATGTATATACCCCATAACTTAACGCTTATACTGTAGAAAAAATTTACAAAACAGTATAGATATGAATTATAAAAATTTTAATTGTGTATATATTAATATATAGTACATATTTATTGAAAAGCTGTAAATATCAACAAGAAAATATGTTCTGAACATTTTATAAAAATTAACATTATCATTAGTAGTATTTTGTAATTGCTATATAAATATTTGATCAATAACTGAGCTTTTATGCGACAGGGATAGTAGCGTATTTTGGATCATTATATTTATTGTTTTAGTTTAATATTTATAAACTCGCTATTATAATTAATATTTAATATTATGTTTTTATAGTAATATGTGAATATATATATATAAATTTGAAACAAAATACAGTTATGGATGATTAATCAGAGCTAAAGAACTTATACTAGTACAGGAAATTAAATGCTATTGGGTAATTAATTGTAGTGATTATCGATGATTGACTTTCCATCATAATTTTTGAATTTTATATTAACCCGTTCATTACCAATATTTTGTTACTACTTCTGAATCGTTATG